AATATATTGGCTTCAACTCTCTATCGTTTAGTTGCTCAAAGCCAATATTCTGGCTCCTTACAGAGCTTTCTACTAGGAACCCCATGAGACATAGGTTGTTGTTAGAATCACTAGTTAGAGTGAGATATATTATTTATTGGTAGGTACCCTTTAGGTTGACAGCTCTGACCTCAGTCTTTTATATACCTACTGCTTTCAACCCTATTTCATCTTTCTCTAGTCTTTTGAACACAGTTTAGCTCTAAAACTAACAGCAGTTGGTAGTGTTTTGAAGTGCAAAAATTGAAAATGAGCCTTAAAATTAAAAAAAAAATTTTTTTTCGAACATATATATTTTTTTAATTGAAATAAAATTTACCATAAATGAAACATTTTTGAATTTTTTCCATATCTCAAATTGGTTAACATTAAAAAAGATTAATAAAAATTCATCAAATCAAGAATTTGAATAAATCAAATTGACACTATTTGTACCAACAAAAAAATTAGAATATATCAAAAATAATGTAAATGTTGCAGTATGGAGTAAAAGTAATGTAAGACAATTAATAAATTATAAAATTTAAAATAAGTTTAAAATAAAAAAAAAGAAACATATTTAACTGTTTAACGAAATATGATCTAACATCATATTAAAGAAAAATGTATAAGTCAGTCATAAAAAACAGATTATTTTAATGTGAAAATATGCAAAGTGACGGGAGCAATTCAGTGAATAAATCCTGCGCACAGAAGGTTAGCTAGACCTTGAGTACCCTGCGCACACAGCACCTGACTTTGATTAAGGCTCCGCACAACTAAAAGGTTAAAGGGTTCCAATAATTTTAACTCTACAATAACTAATTATACAAATCCAAACCAAATAATAATAAAAGATAAAGCTTGAACACAAATATGATAATTTACATACTGCCAAATACCTGAGAACAAATAAAAGGAAATAGAATAAATGGCTATTTTATTTTTGAGTAATAAGTTTTATTTGGACAAAATTACGTATTATTATCTACAAAACTGTATAAATCATTGTCAATACCAAGTCTTTCTTGATCACTTTCTGCTCCCACAGCACAAGCTAATAAAGATTGGACATTTCTTTCTTCCATAGCATTGTAAATATATCCATTAGCTTTATCAAAGGCTTTCTTAACATTAGAAAGCATTCGTTTATCTTTGATATTCAAAGGCACAAATGAAACTAAACTGTATCCTTCAATCAATTCGATCATAGCAGAATTTAACTTCTGATACTTCTTGGTGAATTGTTCATCTTGCAGAGACTCTAAAATATAATTTAAATCAAGAACTTCGGTATAATACTCTAGTGGAAATGGAAGTTTATCAACAAATTTCAACATCATATCAACCTTTGATAACACACTTATATGAGGGAGTTCCATGTGCAACATAGTTGACAGAGTAACCAAAAGAGCAGATATAAATTTTCCAGCATCACTACAATAATGTGAATCCAATAAATAGACAGCACATAAACTTATATTCAAAGTCTGAAGAGATGCCATTAATTTTTTTATAGATAGGTGGTGAGTGTAAAGCTCGACCTGCCCAGGGCAATCAAAAATCAAATATGAATCCTTCAATTTAATCAATTCTTTCTGCAGCCAAACAAAGTTTTCTTCTAAATATTCCATGCAAAAAATGAGAGCTCCATTAGGACCCAACTTTTTATGATTCATAACATCTTCCACAGTGATAAGATCATAAATATTAACAGCAGCTTCGTACGGCAAAATATCATTTGCTGGATCTATATTAATTATGGCAACTTTTCTACCAATTTCCTTCAAAAAGCTAGCAATTTCCTTACAATAAGTAGACTTACCACTCCCAGGTGGACCAATAACTAGCTGACCAAAGTTGAAAGGCATTTTATAAAATTATAGAGAAACTTTACTTTCCATGGCATCTGCAATAGCTCTCAAATTTTGTGGAGTAAAATCTTTCAGAGTTACACTAAACATTGTGTTTCTACTAATTTTTAATCTTTCAGCCAAAAATCTCACAGCACCTAAAGTTTTGTCATCATCATTCCCCAGTAAACTCTGAACTGTGTATAATTCTTCCTGTCCTTCCAGTGAGTGAAAAAGACTCCTTTTAACCAAAAAAATCTCCCCTATTTTTTTGTACTGAGATATTATAACTAAATTATTGTCTTCAAACGAGGAATGCGCAATGTCAGTATGAATACCATTAACTATAAGACCAAAGGTTTTAAAAACCATAATTTCTATAGTTGATTTTCATTAACTAGGCCCATTCAGTTAAGTACAAAATGAAAACAATGACAATATTAAAAATCAAACCTCCTTACATTCACAAAATCAAGGAGGTCAGTAATTATTTCATACCTCTATGCAAGTGTTTAACATTTAAAAACCATAAATCTCTAATATTCATTATTGCATTTTAAACTAAGTAATGTACTCTATTGTCGATTATAATATATGTATATGTTCAATGCTAGATAAGTACGATTCGCATTTATTTTTATTGTTAACAGATCACTGATCTCCCAGATTGTCGAAAGCTTATACTAACTCATCCACTAACAATATTTTTAACCCAATGCATCTGTACATTTAATGGTCAGCAATTGTAAATATTCTGAGAAAATCTCGGAAAAAGGATCCTTGCACGTTCAAGATTATTGAAGCAATATAAATGAAGGGGTTCCTTACACGGGTTAATAATATTGTGTCAATATTATATCAGTGCTGATTTTGTTTTCCCTAAACCTTGCTTTCTTTTTGTATGATCTGAAAAGTTCATCTTTGTTTCTGGATATAATAACATTTGTTGTTATATTCTTGTTTCTATATTACGACGAGGCCCATCACTGATCCCTATTATTGGCCCTCCTTCTCATATCCACCATGGTGCTACCTCTGGCTCACTCTAGTCTTTTCATATAATCACAATACAACAGCCTGGGCCTGCCCCAAGGTCGCCTCTGAGGCAATTTAATCGTCTTTGTATCAGGTATACATTGTGTAGGTGATTGGCTCAAGCCCCAAAGGCCCTTTTCCCTTGGGACAACAGGATCCTCTTTATATCGGGAACAGGGAACACCAGGTGGATTGCCTTCACCTCGGCATGGAGCTTTACCTGCTACTAGTCTCCAGCTCCGCCTGATGATGTCTAATCATGGAGCCAGCCGCCATAGGATCCATGCTAATACTGGTGCTCCTGCTGCCTCACACCAGGGATATTTATCGACCTCCCGGTTTAGATCCGCCTGGTTTTGTCGAAAGCAGTCACCTCGGACAGAATGTGGTTCTTCACCAGGCACGGACGGTCTTGGTAACTAGCTTCATACAAATCTCCACCAAGGCTTCACAGATCTCTCGGCTGGTGCCCATGGCATTGGGGAAGAAACAGCGTCTAGATCAACCGTAGCCAAGGTACTACCTCTACCCAACCCCTTGACCCCTTTTGATACTAAATAAATTAAATTCTAATTTTTACCAAACGGAGACAAAGAAATGCCGGCATTTTGTGAATGTTGGTGCAAAATATTATGTTTTGACATATGGAAACTTGGATGCTCACCAAGAAAAATGAAATGATATTAAGATTGTGAAAGATAAATGCACAGAAAATAATACATGGACGTTTCTGTGAGAACGGAGACCAATCAATGAAAGGGATGGTAATAAAATATGCCGAACTTGGAGAAATGTCAGTGACACCGGATCTGGTGTCCTTCGTTAGAGAACTCGGACTGAAGTGGACCCATGGAATGAATCTCGAGCTTCCCACTCTGTTTTGAATAGTTTGGTTATACCTTTAGAACAACCACTCGTATGCTAGAAATGACTTGACAGGCAGAATCCAAAAAATAAAAATAAAAAACAAAAAGAAATCGGTTAGTATACGCAAAAAGTTTTGAAAGGTGAACATGGAGGAAGAAAACTAAGAGAACGTCCACGTTTAAGATATAAAAGTCACATAGAATAATTATGAAGAGGAAAGGGGTCATGAAGAGGAAGTTATGGAGTTATGAAGAGGAAGGGAGTCAGCGGATGGAAATAATGGTTTAGAATTGTAGAGAAAAAAATCCTTGGAGTAGAAGGTAGCGGAATAACCTTAACAATATCAGTAAATCGTTAAGAATAGGGGCGTGGTGACCAAGCGGACTAAAGCATTTGCAATATACGCCTGGCAACTCAGGCGGATTTACTGGGGGGGGGGAAGCTTTCGGGCTGACGTCCCCCTTTAAAATGGTAAAATGTAACCATGTATGGTAAAAAATATTAAAAAATTATATCTTAAAGTATTATTGCTAGTTTAATTACATTTAATAATACTTCAAGAATCACCTAAACACCATTTCATATAGGTAGTTAGTATCTTTCTGTTTTTCCAAAGTAATTATCGTTATATATATATATATAAAAGCTTCCGTGCTGAAGGCCCCTCTAAAATTAAATTCTGGATCCGCTACTGACTGGCAACTTGAAAACCAAATATTTTGAGTTCGGGTGTAGAGGGCACTTAACTCTGACATGAATTCCTCGCCCTCTCCTCTAGCTCAGGAAAAAACTGCTTAGCCAAAATGGCAAGGTAGGGGAGGGAGAGAGGTTGAAAGAGTGCATCATACCAAATACATTAGAGATTCAACAAATCTGTCTAGTTAATTGAATTTATGTGTCAAGTTGACGGATTTTACGCTACTGGATGGACCTGACGTTTCTAGTGTAAGATTTCCCTAATGGATGATGGCAACCTTTGTTAATGAATCAATGTAGATGCATTGGATATTATTCCACAAAAAAAACAACAAAAAAAAACACAATTTTCGTTTATCGTAATATTGACGCCGTTAGAATGGAATCTTATTTGCGATCGATGAGATCAGCGCTGAAATTAGAAACGCTCTATAGAAGTCGGCATTTGAAAAACATAACCTTTCATAAATAAAACAGTTCAATGACAATATAAGTTATGTTTTAAAGTATATTATTGTTCCGTAAAGAATAATGTCGGAATCTGAAGATGAAGACTTTGCTTTTTATGGTGTTCCCTTGGAACCTATTGATGAAGGTATATATTAAAAAAATGAGAAGAAAAGAATTGCCCTAATAATTATTATTTTAATAAAATGTTTGTTTTAATTATTTTGATATGTTGTTATTTCAAAATAACTGTCTCCTCAATAGAGAGAGAGAGAGAAATACTTTATTGAAAGTAGTGCTGTCCTACTACATAGGTTTGCTTTACACACAACATACCGATCAATCCATTTAGACATAATTTATACATTACTAAGTCAAATAGAGAAATAAATGATTAAAACAAAATAAACTAAATAATAGAACTTTATCTTAATTCAATGTACAGCTTTGCTTCATGACACAATATAACTTTTTGTCTCTAGACAATGTTCCAAGGAAGAAACCATTTGCTATTCAAGACCAAATCGCTACTGACAAACAAGGCAGAAGAAGATTTCATGGTGCGTTCACTGGAGGGTTTTCAGCTGGTTTTTATAACTCTGTGGGCACTCTTGAAGGTTGGAAGCCTTCTCAATTTAAGTCTTCCAGAGAAAAAAAGGCTGATGTTGTTGCCCAGCGACCAGAAGATTTCATGGACGATGAGGTTTTAATTTTTTAATCAATAGTATTTTGTTTGTGTACTGGTTCATTTCTTTATTAACCTGGTCCAACAAAGAGAAATTACTGGAAACGAATAGTTTTTTTATTTAATTATCTTATTTACGAATTATTACTCCATTACATAATATCATTTACAAAACAATTCATTCATCCATACTATAAAATTTTTATGATAAATGTAAAGTATTAATTAATAATATTGTGATTTTCATTTGACTGACATTTCTATCTAGGTATACATTTATATCTAGTCAAATTTCAATTAATTATTCTCGAACACTTTCAGGTCTAAAAGGAACAGTTTATGTTTACTTTGTTGGAAACTTAGCCTATTTTTGTCTATGTGTCTCTTCACATTTACTATAAACTAACTTCTTTATAATTGTGATAGACTAAAACTTTGAAAATTTCCTTATTTTGTAAAATTTGATCAGCTACATCTTGGAAAGTCAAAATACAGTATGGTATCATTTTGTTGTAAATTTGGTATTTGTGGGTCAAAATTGACTAATTATTTTGAGTAGAATTTTCGTGTTTTTCAAATATTTCAAAATGATCCAGAGTTTTGTAAACAAAACTTGATTTATTATTGGCGATGTGTCACCAGATAAAACATCCAAAAATTCAAAACGAGCTCATTTGAATCTAGATAATCTCCCTTATGCTTGACAATTACTCTGAACTGAACTACATACATCCCGAAAACAATTTTTTTCCACTGAACCTGATAGATCTTTATTCTATTTTATTGTCTTAAAATCATATGGTTGTCAGTGAGTTTAATTTAGTATGCCATTTTATCCTTCTGCATTCTGTTAAAAATATATATCTCTTGGTTGCAATATATTTGCAGTTGTTTGTTTCATTAGTTCTTATGAAAGTATTGATATTAATCATTAAGTATTATTAATTATTTGATGTGATTTTTATGTAGCCTCGACCTCGAAAAATTTTCTGTTAAATCTATTTATAATTAAATTATATTATTTAAAACAGGTAAATTCATTGCAATCTTAACTGGGATTTGGAAATATTTCTTTTCAGGATACAGAGGAATTTGGTATCGCCCCCACACTTCTCAGAGCTAAACCAGAATATAGTGGAGGAAAAAGTAATAAAAGGCGATTTGAGCTTTCTGATGGACCAATACCAGGAGAACCAGTTCTGAAGAATATTTTAGAACCTCCTAGGTATCTATAAATATTAATATTAGAGGTCATTCCACCTAAGGTTTCTTAAAATTCGTATTAATTGAATCTGATCATTTCAGTGTGACCATTGGTATGAAACTTCTAATGAAGTTGGGTTGGAAACCTGGACAGGGAGTTGGACCAATGCTTACCTGGGCTGAGAAAATGGGAGGAGACATTGACCCTGAGGAATTAGGCCTAAATCCTAATGTGCTATTCCCTCCTGATCCAATACAAGAACATTGCATAAACGCTAAGAGTGATAGGTATTATTTCATTAGAAAATACATGAACAGTTGTCTGATTTTATGCATTTCAGTATTATTGCCTTGTTAGTTGATTAATTTAATTATTACTTAATTTTTCTATTGATTTTAAATTGTAATAGTAATTTTAAATTATGCTTTCATGACAATAATTTGTAGCGAACTAGGCATTTGGGTAAGTTGTTTAATCTCACTCATCTGGTTTATGGATATCATGTTTTTTTATACATTCATAATTAAAGCAAATGTAATATTGAAATTTTTCAACATTTCAATTCTATGTTTATGTCAATATTGGATTTCTCTTAAATTTAATATATTTCTAATATACTTCCCTTAAAGTTAATATATTCTTTTTAAGATTTGGTCTTGGCTATTTTGGTCTGAGTAAGGAACCTGTTTTGACAGAAAGATTTAGTTTGTTTGACGCTCCTCTAAAAGTCAGTGAAAATAAAAAGAAATTATCAATCCGTGGCCAGGTATGTTTTAAATAATAATAAATCATGACTGTTGTTTGTTTTAAAATTTTAGTTCATGACATTCTAGATTATAATTTCCTAGATAAATTTATATTGAATCTTGTGTATCATATTAAATTAAAATAATTTTAGAAAGTAATATTTCTGATAAAATACATTGCATATCCATATATAATATGCAATGGATCTATATATTCCTAATCAGATTAAATAGGTAGTGGACTGAGATGCTGTAATGCACTCAATCAAAAGTGTTTTGATGTGTTTAACATAGATTTATCCCATTTAAAGGCTTTTGGTGTTGGGGCATTTGAAGACGATGATGAAGACATATATGCTAAGGATGATATGTCCAGGTATGACTTTTCTTTGGAAACCAGTGCTAGTTTGAAGGAGGCCAGGCGGAAAGAAAGACAAAAAGAAAAAGAGATGCTTGCATTAACTGAAGATTACAACTGCATTGAAGGTCAGTATTCTAAACTTTTTCTCGCTGCTGCGATTTAAGTTAGAATTATATTTGGTTTGTTTTTTTGAAATGTAGATTTCAACGACTATCTCCAATTATCCACGACACTAGAACCTGTAATTTTATTACTAAATTTAATTAAAATTTATAAATTTGTATTGTTTTTTTTGTCTTTTAAGTTCGATTTTTCAAAGTAAATGTGTATCTTTAGCATCAAATCCTATCTGTGGTATCAGCCTCAGCTATACCAAAAGACATTAATCAAGCTGTAGGAAATAAGACGGAGCTCTATTGAGAGCATACTAGGAAACAAATATATTTTGTTATTGTTGTTGTTCCTTAGCCTCCTGGATTCTGTCCAAAGAGAAGGCTATCAGCTCTATTCATGAAACGGAATACTATAAGGTATGTGACAGGATTGTATATGGATTACTGTTGATTCAATTAAACCTCTTTAACCTGGTATTAACTGAGGCACCTATCTGTAGGCTCTGTTATCTAAAGGATGAAACCTCCTATCATATTATATGCAGATGTGACATTTTGACTAGGATATGGTATTCTCATTTTGGAAGTGTTGGATCACTAATCCTAAGCTCTACGAATCAATAGATCCTACAAGCTTATACAAATTTGCAAAGGCTACTGAGCGTTAAAAGATATTTTTACAGAGAATAGGATTGTGCTCGATGAGGCCGCAGTGCATCAAAGGGAGAAACAAACAAATATTGTAAAATTTATGTTAAGTGATATTAAAAAGTAATTTTGATCATTCATTTGACTAAGGCAAAGATTTTACTTTCTTTAATACCATAAATCTTCTTCTTTTATTGGCATGACATCCAATTATTGGCATTGCTTAAAGCAATCCTTGGCCTGCTCTATCTCCTAGTTCTATCTGTTTTGATCGTGTGGTGTGCATGTGATACACTTTTTCACAAGTTCCAGAACATTATCTCTCCATCTACCTCAAGACCTTACTCCACTAGGGCAGTTCTCGGACACTCTTCTTGCCATCCTTCATTCTTCCATTCAAAGCAAGTAACCTAGCCACCTGACTCAAATAACTCTGCTTTTTTAGTCTTTGCCATAAACTTTTTTCATGTTCTGGTTCTATAATACGTCTGCAAATATGCCTTTAAATCTCTTCATAGATAGGACATCGTCCACATAGGCTAGTAGTTTTGTCATCAGATTACAAATATTTCCATATCCAATTAATCCTGCTCTTTCCATGACTGCCTTAATACCAGAAATAAATAATTATATTTGTTAGTCACAACTCCAAATATTTCTATGAAAGATAATTTATGCATATCGTTTATATCAATATGCAAATATATATATTTATAAAATTCTTGAAAAAGGTTTTTAAAATCTACTGCCTAAAATATTCACAGAAATTAAAATCTTAAAATTATGGAATGGCATCCATGTGGCATGGAGTTGAAAATCCTATCATCTATAGTTATGTGTGGATGGCTCATAACTGTCAACTTTATCTATTTTTTTATTTTTGTTACTTATATTTGTTTATTCAGTTAAAGCTAACCAGTATACATGACCTTAAAAAGTTTCTGTTCAAAATAACTTTTGCTTTTTTACTTAAATTTAAAATATTATTCTAATCGATGTCCTTTTTAGAAAATGAAATTTCAGTAGATTTTCTGTTTTAATTATTATTATCTATTATGTTAATAAAATATTGCATTAATTTCCAATTTTTTTCTCTCTTGTTTTTTTTTAAACATAATTGAATTGATTGATTTTAACTTATTTGATGTTATGCATCTGGTGTTATTGGCACTGAATAATAAATTCTTTAATAATGTATAAAGTATAAATAAATATTATGACACCAATATTATTTAGAACAATTATAAAAAGTTTGCTTTTCAGATTTACATATGGTTATTATAAACTATTAAGTTTATTAGATTAATTTTGTTGAGCAGTACAATTTAAAAACTTTTTTCTACTGAAAGGAAGGATTAGTTATGAATCATTCTTTATGAGCATTAGGTATTCTTCTTAACTTAAAGTAATGTAGGACACATTCCAACAATATATGCTATGAATTTTTTTTCCATTTTATCACTGCATAATGTTCAAATTCAGTTTATTAATAAATTAAACTAAATAAAGTATCTAATCTAATTATTCTTTCCTTATAGGCTTTATGCCAGCTAAAAGTCAAGGTCACAGAAAGAAGTATTATCCACCTCCTGAATTGCCGCCTGACTTTGATCCAAATATTACTCAAAGAAAATCAAGATTTGGTCCTGAAGTTGTTGGAAATGTCCAGGCAGTAAAAGGAAAACACATAATTAATTCTTCTGACAGAGCAATAATTTTAGGAGAAACATTGCCTGACCATCGGTAATAAATAACACAGAGATTATAGTATCCCTGAAAATTAAATATGATTCCTTCGGAACCATGTTTTGAAATGAACCTATAGACTTTTTTTATTGTTTCAGAAAGGAATGTGAAATTGATCTTGAAGAAACACAAACAGACAATAAGACTGAAGAAAACAAAAGTCCGGATGAGTTAAGTTTTAGACCATTCATTAGTGATCCTGCTAAACAAGCAAGATATGAAAGATATCTTGGCTTCATAAACATAGGAGCTAATGGTAAGGTTTTTTTAATTGTGGACTGATGGTTGGTTGACTATAGTGAATAATTGAAGAGAAGATGGGTTGTAGTGTTCAGTATAAAAAAATTAAAAATAAACAAATTATATTTATTTTTATTTCTGCTGATGTTTTAAGATTATTCTTAAAAATGAATTTGTTTTGAATGGTATTCACATGTTCTTAAAAAATTACTGATAATCTTCCTTAATATACTAATATTAGTAACTTCGGTTCTCATTTTAATTTAAAAAATGTTATGTATTTATGTTGGATATTTTGTTTTATCTATACTTATTTTCAAACCTAATTCTTTATCACTCACCATTGAGGTATTTAATTTAACAGTTTTCTGCATCTTCGGTGTTAAGACTGAATTGGTCATAAAGCTCTTTTGGCTTTGATGTATTACATATTTATATCATTAATTTGGCTAGTTATAATCATTATAAATACTTTTTATACTTCGGAAGCTGTAAGGTTCTCCTATAATTGTTACAACCTGTTTTTGGTATTATTTCTGAATTAGGATCAGTATAATGATATCAATATTTTTGACTACAGATTAAATTGTAAAAGTTTGTTTAAATTGGTTTGTTTGTTAAAGTTGGTGAGTGGAGAAAAGTGAATATTGCAATATAAGATGAAATGTTAGAGTATGAAAATGATAATGATAAACCAAATTTCGTACTTTAAATTTTCATACTTCAGTTAGCCCTGATCATGGCCAAAATGTTGGCACACAATAAAATAATGTTCTTAATTAATCAATGATCACACCCAACAACCAACATCTAGATTTTGATCTACAATCATCAATATTTCTACCATTGTACTGACCATGGATGTTCATTTAGCTAATTATACTAGTGTGAGATAAGCAAAAGTGGAACAGACTTTATAGGACCGCAAAGCTAAAATAATTTAAATTGTCTATCGTAGCATCTCTGTGCAGTCATTAATGCTAGAATAATCAGGATAATGGCATTAGACCATAAGGAATTCTTAAAACTAGCTGAATAGACAAAAGATAGCTCAGATCTTCATATAGAAACGTGCAATAGCCCAAGACTAGCAAAAGTGGAACATGCTTCTTAGGACAGTCAAGCTAAAATTATAATAAAACTTATTTCTGGTTTTAATTAATTAATTTATGCAATGGTGTGGAAATGATTGGCTGTAATTATAATTTGAGAAGGAGTTGGTCGGTGCTTGACCACCCTGCTTGTCCAACTCCTTCACTAATTTGTGTAAGTGTTAATTTTCTGCTTGTAAAACTTTGTAGTGTCTAGTTTTATTTTAATAAAGTAAACATAAGAAGGGGTTAATCAGAGTGATGTAAAAGTCATATTTTCAGCAATTTTTATTTAAGTTCTGAAATATAATCTACAAGGGTGTGACTGCTGAAAGAATCAGTGAAATAAATGACAACTTCAATAGTTTGGCAAATTTTTGCCTTTTTTTTTTTTTTATCAGCCTCAGAACTTGTATTTATTGGCTTACTGAATGGTGTTACATTTAAGAAAGTCCACAATTGCCATTTTTAAGATGTTTAAAACCAAGCAGCCATCAAATTTAGACAATTTTATTTCAAAATTATCTTAAATAAAACCTCATATTAATTTTCAATTGGTTCCATGCTCAAAGTCAACATTTAGGAATTTATCACAGTAATTCTATCAAAAAGCCTTTCGCCACTCAAAATGTTGGTTAATTAATTTATACCATTCTGATTTTAATCCTCTCATATTGTTATACATTACTAATGTTTGAACAAAATCTTTATATATGTTTCCTTTTGATACTCTTTAAATACTTTCTAGAAGAGAGTAAAATTATATTTATTATTTTTTCTTATCCCCTATGGTTCTATTTTAAATTTAGTTTTTCCATTTACCTGCATGATAAAATGTCTATGCAAATTTTGAAAAATTTACGAAAATGGCCTAGTTATCTCGAAGTTGGTTGTTATAAAACATATTTAAAAAAAAAAAAAAGAGCTATAATGTCATTTAGGAAATTAGGGAAGAATGGTGGCTTGACTTGGTTTCTTCAAGGACTGGACAGTTATGGTTTTCAAAATTTAAAGAGGGCACCATCAGGATTGAGAGTAAGTCTTGTTCCTAAACTCTATCTATGGATCTATTCAATCTATGGATAATGAGAAATAGTGGTCTATATTTTGAGTAGTCAGCTTAATAGAGATTGACAGTGATACGGGAAGTATCATTTTTCTAATATAAAGATAAAAAGCTCAGCTTTTACTTGCAGCATTGTAACGTAAGACTATCACAACTCCTCCGAATTATTATATTATTCCGATTTTTAAAATTTTACTTTTTAACATGCAGATGCTTTGAAAAATATTCAACCTTCAGCAATGAGTGAATGGGAAAAGCAGAGAGAAGCGAAAGAATTTGAACAGGCTGCCAAATTGTACCGGCCCTTGTCAGGTAATTGGACTTTTACAGTTTTATATTCCATACCATTAGTTACTTGTAAGACTGAATAAAGATGAGTGATGATATTACCTTGCTTAAGGCTTATTTTACACTTATGCTGTGTAAAGCCACAGTTTAATGCATTACTGTTACATTCAAGGATGGTTTGTTCACCGTATTAACATCAGATTATTTCACACTTGTGAGGTTTTCATTCAGACTATTGCTGCTGAGAATTGAATCTGGTTTAAATCTTATAACAGTTTAAATCTTACTGCATTAATCTTATGGTCACCAGATGAATAGTGGCTATTAAGAGCATCACCGCATGAAACTGCATAAGGGTAAAACAAGCCTAATTGGGACTAGATTTATTTGATGATCGTTTTAATATTTTGAAATTCTGATTTAAAAATCATGCCTATTGGTTACGTCAGCTGAAAGATTATCTCATAATTATATTTACAATGTAATTATAACTTTATATGTAATCCTTCTATTCTGTTGACACTGATATCCCCAACAATCCTGTGAGATCAGTAAAATTTTGGAATAAATATCTTTTATAGTTATGCTTCTGTTATATCTCTGATTTTTTGTTTTTAGGGATGATGAATGATAGGTTTTCCAGAGGTGGAATGTTGGATGATTCTGCTGAACCTTTGACACCAGTTCCTAACTCACAACCTGTTGATTTGGACCCATGGGTCAAAGCAGCAAAAGAAAAGAAGTTCGGTAAACTAACTCGATTTATAGCAGATTGGTCTCCTGCATCTCTCCTTTGCAAAAGAATGAATATTCCAGAACCTAATAACAGGTGATTGCAAAAAATCCATATTTTATTTATCAAAATATTTTTCAGTCAGTTTTATTAAATCTGGTTTTATTTTTAGCGAGGTTACCTTAGCAAAAGTAGCTGAAGCAGAAAAAAAAAGAAGACCAAAATTTTCAGTTTTTGATTTTCTCGACACTTCAAAAGAAACTAATGTTATAGAAACTGAAAACAGTGTCATTGTTCCAGAAGAAACTAAGATGGAAAGTAAAGTCATTAATAATTTAAGTGAAAAGGAAAATGAAAAACCAAAGCTTATCTTATCCGAGTCAAATTATGATAATGTAAGTAGCATCATTTTTAGATTTACAATTTTCATTTTACTGAAATGGTATTGGATACTTATTAAGGACCTGCAACACACCATAGTTCAAATTCACTAATCACTTTCAGACTTCTGTCTGAGATATAATGAACCTACCTATTTCTCTTCACTAAGTTGTTCTTTCTGAAAACTGACTATTACATTTCCCTTCCCATAATTTTCTTCCCAATCCATCTTTTATTATACTTAAGTTTATTGTTGTTCAATTTGGTATTTTATTACTTACACTCATAGGTAGGTGAAATAAATCCTATGTGCTTAGCTTCTCGGTCTACTAGAAAACATGTTTAACTGGTGAATGATGAGGATTAATTATTACAGGACTATAGGAATGCATTTCTCAGAGATTTTCCAGTTAGCTTAGAGAAATGAAGCTAGAATTTGGTTTTCTATCTAGAATGAACCAGTTCTAGTTTTTTTTATTGTGATAATAATTGAAATTTCTACCTTGGCAGTCATTTACCATTAGACATACCACCCAATCTTAGCTTCAATTGAGAGATTAATTTTATTTTTAATTGTTTAAGAATAACATTAAATCTACCAAAACACTGCAAAATGCATATGTATGCAAAATTTTAAACCTTGGTTTAGTCATGTGTGCTGTAGTCACATCATTAGCCAACAAGAAAAATATTAAAAATCTGACCAGGTATAAAAATGGCCTTTTTGAAGTGTTATTCTTCGGCTCCCTCAATTCCTATTCCAATTACAATAAAAATTATATACTTTCTCTTCTCTTATCAAAGTATATCTGTGTAAAATTTCAATCTCCAAGACTTTATATTTCAGAAATTTAGATATCCAAAAACTCATAGTTACTGTGTTGGCAAAATACAGCTCTCGTTAATCTGTAATTTATTGATCATTTTCCTGATTTTTTGTTTGAAAAGTTTTTTTTTTTTAATGCATTCATTTCATCTTTTAAGAATAATGACATGAGAAATTATTTTTACTCTTGTTAAGGAATATTTTTGTTGAAAAATAGTTTTCCACTTATCAGAGAATACTCCCCTTACTTTTATCCACTAGTGTATCTATGGGAGGGGGGGAGGGGGAGGGACTAGAAGGGCTTTGGGGCTGAAGCCCCTCCCCCCAAATGGTAAAATATAACCATGTTTTTTGGAAAAAAATATTTAAAAATTATCACTTAAAGTATTATTATTCGTGTAATTACATTTAAAAGGACTTTAGGAATCACTTAAACGCCATTTCATATAGGTAGTTAGTTTCTTTCTTTTTTTTCCAAAGTAATTATCGTTATTTTTATTTTAAAAAAAGCTTTCCGGCTGAAGCGCCCCCCAAAATTAAACCCTGGATCCGCTAGTGCTTTTACCGAAGGTGATAGTAATATTGTCATTACATTGGCATACATCAATAGCTCCGGTAACCTACATCAATTACTTGTGTTGTAGGTCAGTAGTATCTATTTGGTATTTTGCCCATCTAGCTTATTGATTTGTTTTAGTTTATTTTTATGTATTAATTCAATGACTACGTTTGCTGTTATTACCATTCTGAACAATGTTGATTAAAAAATATGATCTGTGTTTACATTTTTTTTTTTTTTAACTTTCCTAAAATCGATTATCATATTTTTTAGGTAATTAAGTTTGAAGATCCACAGGAAAAGATGGATCTGTTTAAAGCCATATTTGCAAGTAGTGATGAGGAGAGTGATGTTGAAAAAGAAGGTGAAACTGGTGATTCTAAAAATGAGAAAAGCAATTCTAAAGCTTTAGAGAAACCAACTAGTAGCATTAATGTATTACGTAACACTTCTCCACCAAGAGGAATATTTGCCAATCTTGATTTAGATGCATTAAAACCTAAGAAATTGCCACAAGAAGTAGGAAAAGAGAAGAAAGATAAAAATGATGGAATTAAAACTCAAAATGTAAATGATACTCAAAATCCATCAACTGCTAATACGCCTGTTGCTCCTGAACTAATGTACGGTCCCACACTACCGACCAAACCAATTTTCATACAAAAAACTGTTGCATATGAAGACAGTGAGTCTTCTTCATCTGAAATAGAATGGGTTGAAAAAAGTACTTCTAAGAAAAAGAAGCATTCAAAAAAACATAAAAAAGAGAAAAAGAAGGACAAGCATAAACAGAAGAAAAAGAAAAAAAAGTAATAATATTCAGGATAAAGATGTAAAAGTAATTTGCTTAACTGTGATCTTTTAATTGTATATAATTGTGATTATATTATATATCGTACTGAAATATTCCTCAATCCTGGAAACAAGATTAGATACTCTCTCTTGTCCCCCCTCCTTACCACACACAATGAAAACTATGTTAATATACAATTCATATCTATATAAAGGTCATAAAATTCCAAAAATAGTGAATAATGTGTTTATAATAGCTTTGTGTATATGTCTATACCTATATATTTCTTTTCTTTTTTTATGTATGTATATTATAAGCTATAGTTTTTAAAATAATACTGATTAATATTTTTTATGATTATTTTTGTTATACAACCATCTAATTCACAAATGGAATTAATTATAAAGCATAAGTGTATATGTGACTTTAATTATAATATTGACACCAGATAATGAAGAAAATATAAGGATTGGTTGGCTGTGATTTATAAATTGCTCAAGATTTTAAAACAACCTACAAATTATGATGATTTTAACATTTAAAACAACATTTTAGTATTATAACAAATAATATATTTATTTTTTATAAAATTACATTTTAATAATCCGTATACTATATGAATTACCTAGAATGTGATTTGCTTCTATATTATTATAGTTATTTATGTAGCAATTCACTTGATAAATCTTTAGTTGCAACAATTTGTATCAAACATTAATTAAAAGTGAAAAATTATGTAAGTATTTAAAAGGGAGATTTTTTAAAAAAGTAAATGAAAATAATTGAATGTAGTAACCCATTCATTATCTAAACATATATATTTGGTCATGGATGATTGATTATATTTCTGTTATTCTAAACATTTTAAAATTATGAAAATTACAGTAATCATTTAGAGCATTATTAGAAATGGTGCTGGCCAAGCTTATCATCACTTCCACCATTTAAAGGAGCTACAAAAGAACATTCACTTCGCATATTTCATCAGACTCAGATTTGATAGAAAAGCTTCAAAAGTATGGGTTCGAGAGCATTGTAGAATCACCTAGTTCCAATAAATGAAATTTTGAATTTATATTAAGAAAATATATGAATTGCATTATTGCTAGATTTAGCTGCAAGGTGACATTAAACTGTTCCTCTTAATGCTAGAACTGCACTACTTGGAATGTATGCCTAACTTGATAAATGAGGATGATGAATAATAAATATATCTATAATTTAATATTTTCTGCCTTACAGGTAAAGGACACCATTTCCATTTTTTCATTAATAACTAAGGAACAAATTTTAACAGCTTGAAGCTATGGAAAATTGGCTCCCCTGAACAAATACAAAAATGGACATGGTGTTCTTTGACTCCGAAGTACAGATTTAAATAATTGTTTATTAAGGTGCTTTGAAATGGAAAGGCAATGCATTATTACAACTAATCAGTGCCAAACTGGAATTTAACTCCTCTTGAATGTTAACTACTGGTACCAACCATTACTCACTGTAATGATTTTTTCTAATAAAATTTTTTAATCTCAGGTTTGAATGGAAAAAAAAAGGTTTTGAGATCCCTTCAGTCCAAATAACTAAGTCCCACAAAATGGTTGGTGTGTGTATATGTGAACAGCCAAGCTAAAAAATGAAATTACGTATTTAAGATTAGTGTATCCCTGGGATGTTATAGCCAGCAATTTTTTCCTTGAAATTGGCTAACCAGAAGTACCACTTTATATAATCGATTTTACACATTTTTACAAATTTCTTGAAAACGGCATTTACAATTTTGATTAAACTTGGTAGATCAATGAACAATAAAATTATCTTTAATATCATCAAGGTCTTATCCTCATTGATGTCGCTTAACAGGGCCTAAATACCCATTGTTCAAAATTTCATCCTCAAAAGTACCTTTAATTCATTTCAGTTTAAATAATTAACTATTTATCACTGTTAGCAGTAATAAAAAAAAGGCTCAATATAAACTATATAATAAGAATTAAGGTAATTGACAAAACTATAAAATATGAAAAATGTTTTTTTAGGATGAAATGAATTTATGGAACTAGTATCAATGTATGTATATAATGTACTGTTGGAAAGCTGAGAATTTTAGAAAAACATCTAACATGCAAAGGCATCAAAAACCAAATCTGGTGCACGCAACACACAAATTTCACTTACCGCTCTACTTTGAATAGAAATTATTTTGTGGCAATTTTGGGCTATTATAAGATTTTTGAAGTGCATTTTAAACGGAGCTAAAGCTTAAAACTTCCAGATAACAAATCATTAAGACCATTAAAATTTCAAAAAGTCTATTTATTATATCGACAGTAGGCGATAAAAAATCTAGTTATTACTCCATCTGCTATTATAAACCACATAAGTCTCTGATCTTTTCAGTTGGTAGAATGACTAACTCCAATTTCAACATTTTTGAGTAATGTCATTTTAGTGATATTTCAAGTTGGAAAATATATATCAATACAGACTGTAAGTTGATTCCAGAGTAGGTGATTGCAGTGTTGGAGTATAGAGCTGTGAATAAAGGTACAAAATTTGCCACTAGAAACATCACAAAAATTAATGATTAGTGGAGTAATGGTTGCGATTCCGAACAAACCTCCATCATCACCCCTTCAATTAACCCGAGGTGTTCCTCACTCTCCCCGACCCTTTTCTCTATTTATATTAGTGACCTTCCTGACGCCATTCAACATTCCTGTTACCACCTATATGCCGATGATTTCCAAATATACCAATTTTTCCAACCTTCTAAGACGCCTGAAAGTTACAAGAGGATATCGACTGCATCAACAGATGGACAGAAATAAATGAATTAAAATTGAATGTAGATAAAACTAAGGCTATTCTCATCAGGTTCAGACATCTCATTAGCTCCCTTCCTTACTTTCCTCTGCTTAACCTCAATAACAGTCCCATCCATTTTTTCAAAGGTCAAAAACCCAGGAGTAACCTTTGACCAGAGAACCTCTCCTGAAATAACCATATCTCCTGGATTATCCAAAAATCCATAACTACCCTTAAACAACTCCTAAGATTCCATGATTGTATTCCTCTAAAAACCAAACAGCTCCTTGCAACCTCCCTTATATTCCCCTACTTCGACTACGGCTGTTTGGTATATGGAGGGCTATCTGCCAGGCTAAAAATGAGACTGAAGAAACTCATGAATTGTTTCATAAGATTCATCTTTGGGATCCTCAGGCTTTCACATGTTTCACTCTGGTACACTGAGTTGAAGTGGCTTTATCCTACTTCCCGACGACAATTCTTCCTTGGTGTTTTCCTTTTCCAAAACTTCAGAACTAAAAACCCTTCCTACATCCTGGAACTCCTAACTCTACGTTCCTCTATCCACTCTCTTTATACCAAATCTCAACCTGTAGACTTATGTATTCCTTCCCATAAATCTTCTTCCTTCAGCAAATCCTTCGTCAATCGTGCTGCTTCCTTATGGAACTCTCTTCCTACTTCCATATGTCAATCCTCGTCCACAAATTCCTTCAAACAACTCCTGTTCCCCACCTACTCCACATTCAAACTTCAGCAAACATGTAAAATTACTTGCATCTGTACACTGTTTAATTTCAATCTACTGCACATTTGCAATGACAATTAACAGTTAATTAGTTTGTTTTTTATTATTCTAAGTCAGACTAAGACCCATAAATTTGTAACTCTGTTATTATTCTTAGGGGACAGTAGTCCCAGAATAAAATTATTTTTTCATTTCATTTCAAAAATTAATTATAAATGTTGAAATTGGAGTTAGTTATTCTGTCAACCGAAAGGCTGATATATGCTTAGAGAGATTTGAAAGTACATCTGAATATTTAACCTATTAATGATTATGGATTGTAGAGCTATTGATTATTAAACTCTTATTTTCCGTAGTAAAGTTTACTAAAATGACATTACCTGGATAGGTCTAAAGTTGTTACACTAATTGTCAGTGGATAATGTTGGGATTTCACAAAGGGAAAATTCATCAAATTATTTACTAATTTAATTTTCTAAAAAGTTACTTGATGATTTTTTGGAATATAATTAATTTGAGTATAAATACATGTAAAAAGTGATGGATATTTCTAAATTATTATAATTTTTACCATGTAGTACGATCCTCACTTATTCATAGAATAAATAAATGTTTTTTCAAATCTCTCTTGGTATATGGAGTTGAAACTTTTGATCCTAATATAATTTATCTTTGCTCGCCTCCTTTTTGCTCACAAATCTAGCCTGAAAGAAACAAATATTGATAAACATAGATCATGTGGTTTTAAAATCCCAATCAGTACAGCCAATAACTATTTATTGAATCCATAACTATGGATTTTATTACTTTTCCTTAATTTCAATTGTGAAATTAGCTCTTCTTAAAGGTTCTGAAGTTTGCAGACCACTACAACAGCCCTTAAGAAAAATATTTATTTTATTTTCATTACTGTAATACATGGCTAGGATCTTTGTTGGCGTTGTTTATCTTACTTTGTACAATTATTATCAGAAATGATACTGTTGTTACTTGGATTTCTAATCAGATCATACCAAAGCAGTTAAACCTGGTATATGACATAGATTTAACTGCTAAATTACTTTTTATTGTTTATTTTTTATATTGTGTAAAAAAAAAAATAAGCTGATTTATTTTCAGCAAATTTCATGACTTCATTCCTTTTCAAAAATCATAAACTGGAAAAAAAATCAGTGCCTAAATATATTACCATTATTAGGATTAAAAAAACAATTATGATATAATATAATATATTAAAACATAACTACAATTTGACATTGTTTGTACTATAACAATGGATGGGCATGCGTCACAATAGAAATGATTTATGATTTGACAGTAATGTCTAAAAATCATTAATAAAAAACATAATTACACTAATGCTTAAAAATTTTATACCATTATTAAAAATAGTAATCTTTGTGATTTTAAAAAACTGTGACAAAAAAATAGGAAATGTTAAAATCTATAATACACACTTCACCTAGCATTCAACTTGATTACATAATTCACTTAACTGTAAAGTTTATACATACACCTTACAAGTTAGTCCGCTACAAGCTTTGTATTAATTATTAATATATAACAATTTATTATAACATACATAAAGGGTCTATATCAGTTACTATAACAATTATTCTACTTTCTGGAGTGAGTATTATAAAATAAGGAATAAGCAAAGTGTGAAGCTGGGCACAATAAAGAAACTTGAACACTTAAAAAAAAAAAAATTTAAACTAGCATTATATTCATGGAATAATTAATTTCCAAAATATAAAGAATACAAGAAAGTAAATAAGCAAATGTGAATTTCAAGTAACAAAAAAATAAAATTAATAATGCAACACATCAATAAAAGTATGATTTAATGATTTGAGGTGATTAAAGGGAAAAACTTAAAAAGGAACTCTTGAATAAAACTGATTTAGAAAAATAAAATAAAATCAGAACATCCAAGCAAAGCAAGGCTAGAAACATAAAACAAAACAAATGATTTCTGTGCCAATTATAAAATGAATGTGTTATATACAGTGAACATGGTACTTATATTTTAAACATCCAAATGAATCATTCCATTATTTAAAAAAAGCATTGTGGTATATCAAATTTTACAATAGTGAAGAGAAAAATACAATCAGTTTCCTACTGTTCCCGATGGGTAATGCTTTCCTTTACTTTTTTTTTCCTCTCATAACAATGAAATATAAAATAATCTGCTTTAATTAAAGAGTTTAAAATACAAACATGAAATGAGAGGAAAATACAACACTCCTTAAAGTTATAGACCCGAAGGCCCCTCCAGAGGTCTTGAGGTCTCAAGCCGTTCTCATAAGAATTCCATTTCTCTTTCTATGCCAACAAACTTTAGTTGTTCAGTAGGGCCATATCTAAAAAAAAACAACAACAGAATAATGATTAATCAAATTTAACGGCTAACATATAATTCAAACATTTATATGGTGTTGGGAAGACAGTATACATTATAATAAAATTTCTATAATAAGTAATTTGTAATTGTTAACATAACTACAGCAAAGCCTACAAGCATTTGTTCTATCTTCTGAAATTAATGAAATGACATAAAGTTATAGAGCTGCTTACATGAATAGTTATATAAAAAGATAAAATAAGATTATTAATTGTTTTGAACCTTATTGTGGGATCTACTACTACTGCCTCCTATTAGTTTTTTCCACACTAAATACAGATAGAAAGAAATATCCATTGCCCTTCTGTGTCTAGGCAGTTCAATATAATATTTAATTTTCATTCAGGTATTTCTGTTGTTAGATCATTTAAGGTAGTAATGAAGGTAGCAAGAAAGTTAGGCCTCCAAAATAGTTAAGTAAAATCAAGCATTGGAGAACATCAAAAAGGGAGAGAGAATGAGAAATTACTTAAGAGACGGAAGAATATATTTAGAAAACATTGAGAAATTAAAACTGCCAACCAAGTGGTAGTGTAGAAAGAAGAAATCTGGCCAAAGAAATTTAAACTAAAATTATTATGAATGGCTTTATAAAGAAAAGGACTCAATCCATTTTTTGGCAAAATGGTGTTGGCACGGCATTTTTCGAGTTTCTGACTCCTACATCCAAATTTAATAAAATTTATTTAGATTGACCCCTTAATTTAAAACAGGAAGCATGAAAAATTAGTTTCATATATTCAAACAGTTTTTAAAATTTTACATTTGACAACTATGTGGCTCCAATAGTGGTAGGAAACACTGTATTGCCAAAAATTTAATGGAGAGGTTCACAATTATGATTCGAAATTTACTCGATTGAACTTATAATTTTTAAAATCTATTTAAAAAAAAAAACTGTCCTGATTGACAGCCATGTTGCAAAGTCTTATAATACTATTTTATTTTTATTTTTTGGACAATCTTGCCCTAGGAGATATTCAGAAATATCTCAAATTAAAACTGTTATTTAAAATCATTGTCTTAAACATTTAATATAACATAAATTAAACAGAAAATCTAGTTCATAAATTAAAATAAGACGCAGTTTATTTTATCTTATGAATAATTTTAGATTTTGTACTTACAAGCTCTTGGAGCATGACTGTCATTATACTAATTTCTAAATTTACATTATACCATTAAACAAATAAAACTGAACAATATTATGATTTTATAAAAGAAAACCACCTGAAGAATGTCCTATTTAGAAAGGGCTTTGTTCAACCAGCGTAATACTTATAAATTATTGATAAGGTATTAGTAGATCAAAACTTGCTCATAGCAATTCAATATTATGTCATTTTTTGGAATAGTTAAATTTGAAATTTTGGAGTACAGACAGTTATTAAAGTTTCCTGATAATTATTTTTATATGGGATCAATTCTATTCTCGAAGATCCTTTTTATATGATCAAATTAAGGAGATAATTATCAGATGAAGAAATATCATTGGAGTAATTAAACTGATATTATAGTGTTTAATATTAATAGATGTCAAGTGGTCTGAACGGTGATGTCCTCAATATTTTTAAAATAAATACATAGGGTCTCCTAAAAAAATAGGAATGCTGATATAGTGGAGGAAAGAAATGCTATCTTAGAATGCTAGAGAATAGAAAAACAGCCAAATATTAATAAGTATCATTTACAGTTATTATTTACTTTAATAGATAAATGTGAAATGTTACCTATAATCGAAAAATAGCTCTTCCCCAGGCTGTATTGCTCTCTTTGCAAAAATTCCGATGCGATGATCACCATTCACCATCATAACTTTGGCATAGCAGTTAGGATTAATTGAATGATTGGCAAATCTTATTTTATTTCCCTTTCTTGTAGCATCCACGACGAAATCTATTCACATAAGAGAAATAAGTTATGTTACATAAAGAATGTAATTAATACAACAGATTATTTTGGAAAAAAGTTAAATATAAAAAATTCTCATAACTCCGAAAAATTGTAATAAACCTCTTTGCTAATGACTAGCAAAGTAATTAATAAAATGAAGGAAAATTTAATGAAATATTATTTACATATGGTCTAGCAAAGCACGAATCATTTACTAGGACTAAAACTATTAATGCTAAACATATTGGATATCAGGACACCCCAATGTGAGGAAGACCCATAGTAGTGGGTTTAGTGAAAATCATAGAATTTAATAATTACAGTTATTAAATAGCTAAAACTTTAAATATTAGGTATATCGCTACAGTTACTGCAAGAGATCTTATGTAACAATTTTTTATGTTGCTTCTATTTGAGAGAAAGGTGACATTTTGTAGTCAGCAACTGCAATAAATAGTCTGCTACTAGAGAAAATAGTATAGGAAAATAGAATATTAAATTATACTAGTAAATCATCAGTTTTTATGCTCTTTTGTAAAAAAAAAAAAACTTAATGCTTTTGCGTCAACAGTAGCGATATTTCATTAAATATTGTCTACTATCATGATTTATTTAAACATACAACATACAAATATATCACATGGAAAGGAGCCTGAACTAGTAACAAGACCCGTTTAAGAGGTCTGTGGGCCATGATGGCAATATTGGGTTTATTTAATAGACCTAGATTACACTTCTAGATATCAAAAATCTTAATCATGAGAAATATTTATAATCCTCAGAATCTGAGGGTATAACTCTCTTATTTTCACCATCTAGTAGATATTCAAATAATTCTTTAGGAATATATACAAAAAAACTCAAATATATAATTTAGAACATAATCGATATACATAACAAACTTCATTGTCATTACCATTATTTAAATTAAAGAGGAAGGAGCACATATATTTGTCATATACTTTTCCTCTGCGATCTGCTTCATCTTGAGATATTATTTCTCCACAGTATTCAGATATAAATTCATTTTTCTGTGCTGACTCTTTGAGGAATATACCCCATCCAGCAACATCTGAAGGCGCCATCAGCAAATGTTTGTCTATATGGAAAAAAATATTATACTATAGTTTATATCATGAACAAAACATTATGACAGAGTGAAATAATTAATATTTAAAGAAAAAATAAATTCACTGATTTTTTTTTAAACAAAAAATCTCATCAAGCCTAAATTTGATGGATTAGCAAACATTAATAATAAAAATATTTTAATGAATTCACTACAGTTAAGCTATAAATTTTCCAGTTTAACATATTTCAAAATAACTTGCAAGTTATGGAAGTCAACATGGAAATAATCAAGTGGAGAAAATTTCTTACTTGAACTATTCTAATTAGAACTTTTAAAATTCTGAATTAAAAAATAACATTAGTTTAGCGTTGTTGAATAAGGAGTAAGTTCACATGACAAAGAAGTTTGAATTCAATATGCAGTAAACTTATGCTTCTATTATTTCTATTATGCTTTTACAAATTCAGTAATGATAAAAAAATTCATTATATACTTGAATTACTATTTTTATTATTTTGATTAGCTGAGCCTTTTTTTTTTGCTCCTTTTTAATCAAATAATGAAGAAAAATTTATAATTCTTGTCATTCCATAATACTGCAGAAGCAGAGGAATCTATAGCATAGGAAGAAGAAAACAACCTGTGATGAACAACTTCAATACAACAAAAGGCATCCATTGACAAATGATCAATCATTAATATTAAATGTGTATATAACTAACAACTTACGCAATGCTCTTTGCACGCTCACATTCTTGCATGTTATGCGATTTACGTCAAAATCATCAGCCCCACAGGTTTGACAAAGGTCTGGATCACATTCCCTAACAGCCAAATAACAAGGACACTGTTTAGTGTTACACTGGGCTTTACAACGGCAACCAGGAAACCTATTCTGACCTAAAAAAATAAATAAATAATAATAAGAAAAAGTTTTTACTCTTAATCCTTCAAATACCAAATTAAAAAAAGGTATTGTGACATATTGTGAACTGAGAGGGGGTCTGTAGAGGAATCCACTGTTATTTTGTTGTTATGGCCTTTTCTGAATTACAAATAAAAATGAAAAGTATAGGTTTATTAGTAACTGGTGGATGTTACATTCAGTTAAATCTTTAACAGCAATTATTGTTATCTTTGTATGTTTTCTAAAATGTATCAACAAGGGATAGATTGTTAAAGTTGTTTAAAAATAATTTCTAATAACTTTGGCTGAAGGATTATGGTAATAGCGGGCAATCAACTATGATTTTAAATAAGCAATATTCATTGGTGAAATAAATACATTTCTCAAACGTTGCAACTGGCATAAATAAACAATTTGTAATAAAATGAAATTAGTAACATGCACAATAAAATTAAATTATAAAAATACAGAATATTCTAGAACCTAAATTTAAAATACTTCTTACGCATACAAGTTGCAAGGATCATCAAATTTGGAAAGAATCTTAATTTTAACAAGAAATAAATTTAACAACAATTTAAACTAAAATTATTACCTAAAATTTTCAATGTTCAATTCACCTGTCACATAAATTATACATAACATAATGTTAATGTTAAAAATTTCCAATAATAAAATACTGAAAACTGTAACTAAATACTTACAGTCACTGCTGCATTGACAAAACTTTTCACAGAAGTTTTGAGTGGCTTGGCAGGGACAAAGATGATCACAAACTTTGTTTTCTGGGTGGTCACAAGGAGTATAATTATGTACATGATTGCTGCCTTCTTTCTTCATAGAATTCTTACGACAATGAACAGACCAAAGACGATGCTTCTTCTTCTTCTTTCGTGGCGGAGTGTATTCTCTCATTTCTGCATCAAACTGCGTAACCGATGGATCCTTCTGTGCGAAGTAGTAGACCTATTTCAAATAACAGAAATATTAAATAATAATTTATTCGTAATTTTTTAAACTAAAATTGAGGGGAATTCGGTAAACGGTTTAATCAATACCTGCTGACAAGTTTTTGTAAGCATCATCTGAGAAATCGCACAATAATTTCTTAAGAAGACTTTGTAGAGAGCCCTAAAGAGAGACTGGTCAGAACCAGTCCATTCCTTACTGTCATCACCAGGGCTTCTTAGAGAAAATGAAGTACACATAGGTTCAGCACTGTCACCACTGTCCCCTTTGCCGTCTGTAAGCAAATTTAACAGTTAAAAAAATATATTATTATAAAAATAAAATATAAAGTATATATATAATCACAGATATAAGAACGACAAACGTTCAAGTTGAATATAATAATAGTTAACATTAGAAATAAATAAAATAAAATCTACCTTTTTTGTCCTAAACATAATTTCTAAAGTTGTCAAACTAGATAAATAAACGAACATAAAAATATACTACTTTATTAACAGTACTATTGTAATTTTAATATTACATTTTTTAAGTCTAAAGAATTGAAATTACAATAATTAATTGATTAGCTAGTGTTCTAAAGCAGAGATGGGCAAAATGACAATTCAAATAAATTTTTATATCACTGTAACCTATACAATTAAACATTAAATAATATCAACGATAACACTCATGAATATCGCATATGTATACGTATATAATATTGTTGGAGACCGTATTATATTAAGCTGATGTTAGGCAGGGAAGCCTGTTCTAATCTTCGGTAGTGCTCGTATTTCTTTGGTATCTCTTAATCCTCCTTTAATTAATTAACAAATTGTTTCATGTTTTATATTTATCTATTTTTTATATTAGAGTTCAATGTGAAATGGTTGATTATTTCAAATAAAAAAATTAAAGGAACTATAGAGGAAGAAATATTGAAAATTAGCTATTTAATCCCTCGTTAGAGAACATCAATGAGAATAAAAACTACTTAATTTTATCAAAATTGTTAGTCATTTTCGAGAAAATCCAAAATATGTGTTAAATCAATGATATTAAATGCCACTCCGGGTTAGCCGATTATGACAAAAAAGTTGCTGTAACATCCCAGCCACATACAAACTTTAAATATACAATTTCACTTTCATATGACTTTTCGTTTTTGAGTTTAGACTGTTTATACACACACAGACTATTCTACGAAACTTGGTTATTGCGACGACTCAGGGAGACCTCAAAACATGTATTTCCATAGAAAACTCAGATTTGAAAATTTTCATGATCGTAATACTTTCTCTAACTATGTATTTCATGTATAGGTAAGTGAAAATAAAAACTGAAAAGATTGTATTGCAAGGAACTATGAGTACTGTCCGGAAATTCACTAACATCAAATAATTTTGAAAACATACTGTTCTAAAAACATTTTAGGCTCAAGCCCTCAGAATGCAATATTCTGCAGTGATCTAAGATCTCTGCTAGAAGCATACTGGTGATATAGTTTTAATACTTCATATTGCATGATCAAGTGACAAAAACATTATCTATTCCAGTGAGCCATACAACAAGATCGCTGATAGCTTCAAAAGATCGTATTCTGTTTAAGTTAATACATATGGATGTTATAGTAGATAATATAGCAAAAGATATTGTATAAATCTTCTATGTTGGATACATAGTTTTATCAATTCAATAATATACTTAATATACCTTTGCTGTCATTACTGTCTTCTGAACTAGCTTCATTTCCTGAATCGACTGAGGTCTGTTTCCTAACTTTTCTGGGTCCACCTTTTTCTTCTTCTCCCTTTGGTTCTAATTTGATGACACCGCTCTGAGTTGCTGAGTCTTCTTCCATCTTAGCCTCCATTTCTGCAGCTTCTTCTCTACTTTTTTCGGCAAGCTTTTCTTTGACACCTTCCTATTATTTGAATTAAATTTAAGCAAAGTGTTTCATAAAATATGATAATATAATAGTAAATCAGATATTATAAGAGATGTGATTTTTTAAATTTTTATTATGTATGTATAAATAAAAATTACTCACTATGTGAATGTAACAATCAACTCCACAAGGTTCAGAAAATGTTTTTAGTTCAGGACCTTTCCGCCTCTTGAGATTGGGATGTGTATGATGCACAGCTAGATAAATAAATCAAAATGAATAACATTTGAAACTAATTAATAGTTTCTAGATAAAATTGTTAGCAAATAATGATTGCTGATAATTACAAATTATAGTTGACAAATGGTAAAAAAAGAGGATAAACATTCTGCTATTAAAATAAATTACAGAACAAAGTTTTAGTTTTATATTCTTCAATTCCTTAAATTCTAACCTATCATTTTTTACTCTAACTAATTAATGTTATTAAAAAGACTACTTACAATGAAGAAAACAATCATATTTAAAACATCTGCGACAAAATAAAGTATGGAAAGAATGTAAAGTTTTCTCTCTCTGCACAGACTGGGCTATTGGACCATCTATATTAGGAGTACATTGAGGAGGCAAGGCGTTGGGATCAAGGCGCACAGTGAGCTCTATATACCTGGCAAAAACCAAAACAAACGCTTAATTAAAAATGAATTTATTGATCAATAACGTGAGCCAGAAACCAAAACTTTGGTGGTAAGTAACGGGCCTTACTAAAACATGTGTTTATATTGACAAAATACTGAAATATATAATTTAAAAGTAAACAGAAAATGAATTTTAAAAACTTTCTTTATAATGAACCAAATTTCTCACTTTCAACTATATGCAAAAAACCTTACTCAAAAATAAATTATAGTAATGAAATTATACTTAAATATCATGCAGTTACTTACTTTTCACGAAGTTCATCAGGGGAACCTTTGTCAGGGAACATAGACGAAATAGCTTCAAATATAACGAATGAAGGAAATGGCTTTTCTTCACCGTTGGTTAATGATGGCCATGATGTAACATCTTTCTTTTTTTCTTTTGTATCTACTCCAGCTTCTTCTTTGATAGTAACACCATCTTGCTAATTATAATATAAGCAAAATATAAGTGAATTGATGTAAGTTAGGAATATAAAAAAAAAAGTATACCTATTTTATTATTAAAACGGGACTTCTTGATTTTTAACGGACACCTTCACACCAAGTTAAACAATTAAAGAGTAAAAAAACAAATCTATAAATTTATTTCCTGTAGGCAGACACCATGTTACACTTTTGTATTTGTTCAGGAGAGCCATTTTTTTCTGGCTTTGAGCTATTAAAATACGTACCTTAGTTACTAAATCTGTACCCCATAGGTAAAGGACACCATTTCACATTTTTGTAATTGTTTATGGGAGCCAATTTATCGTAACTTTGATTACTAAAATTTGTTTCTTAGTTATTAATTTATTTAATAAAAAAATGGACATCATGTTCTTATCTCCGGGATACAGAAATATTATTAATAAAAACTTTTTAATTATTACAATGAATTGAATAGGCATTTTAAAAAAAATTGCTTTTTTATTTTAGAAGTAAAATGACATATAGATGTTACTGTCGTTTTGGCATAGTTAAATGATTATATTACATGATATAATTAAATTAGTAAGCATAATTATTAATTAAATTATATAGTTTTAAATATATCAATATCATCTTATAGTAAAACAGCATGATTTTAAAGTTTAAAATTTAATAAAAAAAAATTCACTTTTTTTTTTAAATCTCTTATTTTAAATACTAACCTGATCTTTTATCTGATATTGTATTAATGCATTCACAAGTTCAACAAAAATAGAATCATCAATGAATCCAGTTTCACGATCACCATGAACTTTCCCATCATAATTCTTTATCAATTCTTCGATAAATGTACCGTCCTGATCTAAAATTTCATCTCCCATATATGGAATGTTGTGTAATACAGTTTCATCTTCAACCTAAAAAATGATTTTATGTATATAAATATATATATATATATATATATATATAAACAAAAAATGACGTGACAAGTATAGGGGTTGCTACAATACAGCAATCAACCAGATAATTTTGGACTGAATTGCAACTTGAGAGCACAGTCTTTAAAGATCAACATTGAAAAACTGAAGGATTTTGAGGTTAGACAACTCTACTGATAGCATGAATGTCTATATTAAAGATCTATATCAGGCTGATAGCACAGGTCAACAGTGGCAAAAATGCAAAGAAACCATGGAAGAACCTGGCAGTTGATATGCTTGGATATCAAAAGCCAACTAAGAAAGTGCACTGGTTGGACGAAGAATGCCACAGAGTGACCAGCCAGAAGAACCTTGCTTATAGAACAATGCTACAGAGAAGGCATACACTATCAGAGGAAGAATACTGATCCAGAAGAAGGGAAGAGAAACGCAACCATCAGAGGAAAAAAAAAGGGAATGGCTTCAGCAAATGGAAGACTTACGAAACAATAAAGAGGTTAGAAATTTCTTCCTAGAAATAAACAGCTAAAACTTCTAGAATAGAAATTGCCAGTCAAACCTAGAATAAATGCTTGTAGAGACAATGAGGGTAACCTGATCACAAATAGGATACAAGTTCTGGAACAGTGGTGGCATTACTTTGAGGTATTCCTTAATGGCATGGCAGAAGGAAGAGAAGTGGAGATGGCCCTGGGAGAACTAAAGCCTCCTGAAATGGAAGACGTCTATGAAGGGGTGGAAGAGCTAAAAAATAATAAAGCACCCGGACCAGATGGACTCCTTACAGAATTGTGCTTGATTGTCATAATCATCGCGGTATATCTTTCTTATCATGTGCTTATAAGGTCTTCTCTCAGATACTTTATAAAAACCTGCTTCCTTTTACCAAGCAGAATATACGAAAGTACCCGACAGGCTTTATGATAGCACAGATCAGATATTCTCCATCAGAATCATTCTGGAGAAGTGCAGGGAGTATGATATCACACACACCACTTGTTCATTGACTTTCAAATGGCCTATGATACAGAGTAAAGGGAAACGAGCTGTACCAGGAGCTTCTAGAAATGGGAATACCACTGAAGCTGATACATCTCATTAGGGCTACAATAAAGAAGGTGCAATGCACAGTGTGTTCAGGGTGGCCTGACCGATTGTTTCGAAACCCACAAAGGGCTCAGACAGGGTGATTGTCTCGAATGCCTTCTCTTCAATTTGGCCAACAAAAGTGCAGTGCAGAAATCTGGAATACAATTTAGGGAAACTATATTCAATAGATCTATGATTTTGGCCTTCGCTGATGACTTAGATATTGTTGGGCCAATATATCAATATATCGGCCTTTGAAATTTTGCTATCAGCCAAAATTTTAATGTCAGTTGATTCCTAGAAACAACCACTATCATATCGCTATAATATGCTCAGTGTATCAAAATTTAACAAGAGTAATACTGAAATGACATATAAATATGAATTAAAAAAAAAAAACTAAGATTGCATAATGTGATGATAACTTAGTTTCACCAACCAAATACAAACCATAAAGTTTTGTTGAATAGGAGCCCATGTATACATGGTGGGTATAGGTGTCACTGCATTGATAATTTTTATGCGCCCTGTCATAAGTTCCCCATCAGACCTTGTTATATGGGCTTCTTTCATGCATCTTGCATGGGGTTCATCAGCATTTTTATGAACCCAAATAGCTTTGCCATCAGCCCATTTCCTTTGTTCATCAGAAAGCAAATCTAAAATAATGTGTGACCATGAATAATAAAAAGAAAAATAATGCATGACATTAAAATTAAGTTATGAATAAAATATATTCACAGTAGTTTTATTATACCTGTCAACTGCTTCATGTTCATATTCCATGCTACTTTAACTTCGTCAGCTCTTTTAAATCGCTTAATTTGACGAAGTCTCATGTACTCAGCTTTGACGCGTTTCTTCCATTCGGAAGAAACTTTGGTTTTGTTAGACATTACGTTCTAGATTTAAAGATCAGATACTCGTACAAATTTTATAGTTTATAGTAATGAGAAGATTAAAATCACACATTAAATAAAATTCATAAAAACAAAACAACCGCCCTAACCTTCCGAACTCTGATTAGAAGCATTCACTCAAGTAACGGACGAGCGCTAAAAATCAGGTGGTTGCCAGGAGAAATAACCAAATTCAGAAACAAAATTATACCATGTGATCTTCTATCTATCTAGAATCTAACCTCCTTGCCGGTAACTTCAATTGCTAAACAACGCTTCGAGTTTGTTTTAAAGCGTGTGTGTGTATATTGTGAAGTTTGTTAAAAGCAAATATACAAAAATGAGTAAAGCACATCCGCCAGAATTAAAGAAGTTTATGGACAAGAAATTATGTATTAAACTTAATGGTGGAAGAAATGTTGTAGGAATTTTGCGTGGTTTTGACCCTTTCATGAATATGGTAGTTGACGAATGTTTAGAAGAGAAAAAAGATGGATCAAGAAAACCCATAGGAATGGTTGTTATAAGGGGGAACAGTGTAATAATGGTAGAAGCTTTGGAGAGAGTAAGACTATTTCATAAGTTACTATTGTAAGTTACTTTGTTTATTCCTGATTTACTGATATTCATTTGTTTGTTTCCAGGTCTGATTAAGTTATATGAATATTTTGTGTTTATTCATAATGACAAGGATGATGGAGAAGAAAAGTTCAAATTAAAACAACATTAGTTGATGTATTTATTTGTAATTATGATATAAATAAGTTCCTTGTTACAAGTAACTTGTGATTGTACATAAAGTATTAAAATATACAAATGACTTTTTCAAAGTTCCTATTTCTTTTTTAGATAAAATATTTTAAAATTTAACTACACCATTGCCTGTTTCTTTGTCGAACCATAATCTTTAGTATTCTGAAAAGAAAAAAAAAATAAATTCAGTACATTACTTATAACTAGAATTAATAATGTGGTAGTGCTATTGAGTTATGATAATTTATAATGCTTAATACACCAAAATATCTTAAATTTTAACCTTAGATTTCTCAGATTTTCATAACTTGTATATTATACCATCTAAATATATTCCAAACCAACTTTTCTTAAATGTTTTGTTTGAAATCCTTTTTTGATATGTTATAAAATAAACTTATTGCATATACTTTAATTTCATACGCAAGGAGAAAAACTTGAAACAAAGCATTTTTTCAGAATTTTGTATTTGGATGTTGCAAATATATGTATATGATGTTCTGATATATATATATTGCTTAGATTCCTACCAAATGTCAAGGTGGAAAAAACAATAAACCATTAATGAATAAAATCTAGATGTTAAGTAGGAGCATAATAATCAAAGAGTATCCTTATTTTCACATTAAATTTTGGTTATTCAAGTGAAACACGTTTCTTGCTTAAATGTTTTATAATAGTTTTTTGAAGTGCATTTTCAATGGAACTACAGCTTATAGCTAACAGCTAATGTTTATAACCTTAAATACATTTTCTGTAGATTAGTGATTATAGAAATGATATATTTAAATAATTAGATATCAATTAAATTAGTGAATAATTTGATGTATTTTCCCTTTGTGAAATCCCAACTTTATCATGTCTTCCTTTACAGTACCTTTAATTTGGTTTATTATAAATAATAACTATTTATCTTTGTTAGGGGTTATGGAAAAATGCTAAATATAACTTTTGGAAGAATTTGATAATTAAATCAAGGAGAAAACAAGAAAAATATTTATCCAGACTGAAAATGAATAAAAAAATATTTCATGGATACGTTTATAACCTTAAATATATTTACTGTAGTTTAATAACTCTAGATCTGATATTATATTTAAATAATTAGGTCCATTTATTCCAAAAAATTATGTAACCTTTTAGAAAATTAATTAGTGAATAATTTGATAAATTTTCCTTTTGCGATATTCCAACAGAATCCACTTACAATCAGTGTAACAACTTTTGACCTGTCTATGACAGACAATGCAAATCTCATAATTCCGTTTTAGTAAACTTTGCAATGGAAAATAACAGTTTAATAGCTAATAGTCGTACAGTCCATAATCAACCGATGATATAATAAATAGGACTTTTGTTATTTTAATAGTATTTATGATTGGTTAGCTGTAATATTTTAGCTTTAGCTCAGTTAAAAATGCAATTCAAAAATTGTATAATAGCCTAACATGGCCAGATAATAATTTCTATTCAAAGTTGAGCAGTAAGTGAAAGTTGTATGTTGGGCGCACCAGATTATTATATTTCACTTCTTTCACACAAGTACAATGAAATAGTTTTTTTAGCAATGTCATTGCCTTGATTAGGTGGATTTAAAATACTTTTTCAAACTTTTAAAAGTTTACATTTAGTTAGTAAATTTCATATAATTTCCTTGAAAACACGAGATCCATTAAATAATAATAGTCTTCAGAAATTATTATTTATATTTTTTTTTCACTCTTTAATACTTTCTACGACTAGTTTTTTTTCTAAAATTCTCTGATTTTTAATGATTTATTAAACGTATACCTTCTGATTATTATTTCTGAAGATTCATTTTCGAGCTAAATAAGTATTTTTTTTTCTCCTTTATTCAATTATCAAATTCTTTCAAAACTTATATTTAGCCTTTTTTCATTATTTATATCAATGAGAAATAGTTAATTATTTAATTCGTTTGTTTTCATTATTTAAAATAAACCAAATTAAAGATACTTAAGAGCAAGACATGTTGAACATTGGGCATTTAAGCCCTGTAAAGTAACATCAATGGGAACAAGATCTAAATGATATTAAAGACCACTTAATTACAAATTGATACATCGAAATCGTTGAAGCTATTTTTGAGAAAATTTTAAAAATGTCTTTAATCAATTCCATTAAGTACCACTTGCGATTAGCTGATTTTGACAAAAAAAGTTGCTGTAACATCTCAAGCATATACATATGTAGGTAAGTGAAAGTAATAAGCTAGCAAACATTGGTTTTAAGACAACCAGCTCCTTCCTTAGTGGTGCAAAGCACAGTGAAATTTGGCCATTTCTGTAAATTTTACAAATCAATATTTGATAATACTCAAGAAAAAAATATTTTTTTTAATGGAAATAGTTGGTATAGACAAAAAAAAAAATCAAGTTATCTGAGACAAGTTTAGGTTTCTGGAGATTTCATTTTGAAAGGCCCAATTAAAAAAGAAAATATCTGATTTTAGATTAAATAATTCACTGATTAAGTACATATTTAAGATTGAATATTGCAGAAAATGATTTTAAGAAAAAATATTAATTTACTTACTAATTTGGTTGAACGGTCTTCTAATATTTTATAAGCAAAGTGATTCAGCTGAAACAAAATTTTTTTAAAAATCATGTAGGTCTAAAAAAATAAATTAAAATGTTTGGGTTATATTAACTCCTTACCAATAATCCTTTAGGTAGGGCTATGCCTTGAAATCGGTACAACTTTCCATTATCAGTTTCGATAGAATGTACCTGTTCAAAAATATAACAGTTTTTTTAGAAAAAAACTATTTAAAAATAATGTGAAATTTACCTCTTCTGACCACTATGCTAAAGGGTATTGTTATTGCAAAAATTTTCTATGAAAATTAGAAAATAATCAGTAAAAATTTGTTCTGTAAATTCATTTAAAACAATTTATTACCATACTTTTTCATACCTGTCTAATCTAAAATTAGTTTTGTAATTCATTACTATAAACTTCATACCTATAATAACTTCATACCTATAATACTATAATAATTCATACCTATTTAATCTATTAAATTTATGCATTTTTTGTCACTGTTCATTTTCTCCTACGACTATAATTCTATTATTTATTTAATTATTAGGGTTACAGACTTTTTTGTTTTTTTAAATCTGTTTGGAGTGCTAATGATAAAGGAGGTTACTATATTTATTTATATATTATTGCGGGTGTTTTTTATTTTTTTGTTTTAAGCATATGTATAAATTTTACTTTTCCTATCATCATAATTCATACAATTAATATAGGTGATAGTATTTATGAAGAGTTTGTGACGTAAGGAGAATAGATTAAGTGAGATCTCCCGAAATACACTAAGCTTATTCTGAAAGCCTGAGATGAGAAGAGGATTCCTAAATAAGAAAGGCAATCAGGCAGAATGCTCCAAACATAGATGCATATTGCCTATCCCCAGTGGTATACAAACTGTATACACCCATCCTTTAAAATAGGGCAAGACTTTTGATGTAGCCACTTAGAGGAGAACAAGCTGGTTTCTGACCAGTACGACATATTTCCCCTCTTGATTGTATAGACTTTCATTTGACTAGTAACTTGAAAATCTTAAAATAAGAAATTTGTTTTAATTGATTTCAAAATTTTGAAAATCTCAAAAACACCATCTTAATCAATTTTTAATTGAATGTAGGCCATTCTGATATTTATTCGTCAGATTTAAACCAACTTTCAAGGTGCAGAAATGATGGGATCATGGGTTTCTATTCTACATTCTAAATTCTAGATGTTAAGCGTTAAATGAACTATCAAATAAATAGTACCATTTTTTATGATCCAAAACATGATGAAATTATATATTCGTAAAATACTTAGTAGGTATAACTAATAAAATATCACATAACTTGAAAACATACATAGAGCCTCATGATTTCATAGGCAAGACTGTTGGTTTGATTTAATAAAGAACAAAAATAGTTAGGAATCTTAATAAAAAATAAATATGTTTTTAACGTATAACCTGATTCAGTTTTAGTTAGTTCATAATATCTTATATCTTACTTTATTATATCTTTAAACAAAGTTTTATGAGTTATTCCACTGTTTTATTTTTTTCATTATACTGTTTATATTGTATATAGGTATGTGTGAGTTCTTTTTATTCATTTATTTTTAGGTTATTTTATTCTATATATATTATTTTTCTGTATAATTTATTTTATTTACTGTACATAGAGTGTGAATGTGATCTATGAACACTATTATAAATGTCCTTGAGACAGATTGTAATATTTTTCAATAAATAAGATTAAAAAAAAAAAAAACTTTAGAATTTGTATTGCTTTCGTCAACAAGGAATGGGATAATTCATTTATACAATTAAATTTTACTGATTCATATTGTAATAATAGTTTTGACATTAGACTTACTGATGTTACAGAACAGCGTCCTATTAGAGATGTATTACTAATCATTGGGCCTTTGCTGATGTCAATGTGAGAACCAACTCTATAAAGTGTCACCTTTCCACCTAAATAATTATAAAACTTTTAATGAAATATTAATAATCAATTTTATTTATAGTTATCTAAATATGGTAATTTTTCTTAAGTTAATTTATAATATACTTTTAAAAAGTAAAAAAACTTTACAATATTGCTTTTGTAAATATAGCTTAAACTGAATCTGGAGATAAACAATAAATAAATCAAAAAATAACTCTTAGTTTATAAAATGCTTACTGACAAGAAAAAAATAGCACTATTACTTCCTCATATTTGTGGAATTGGCATATTAAAAATATTGTATGAGTAAATCAACCCTTTAAGTTTCTCATTGGACAAATAAAAAATACAATGGATATAAGTCATCCTCAATTTACCTCATTATGAGGGAACAATACTTTCAAAGTCTGTTTGTAGTGATTAGTTGGAACTTCATATACGTAATGCTCATTGGAAAAGTTATCACCAGTGCTGACCTTAGACATTTGGCATTCCCGAATAATGATTTCTTCTTCTCCCTAAAAGGGAAATCTAGTTCCTAAACTGTTTTATATTACGTAATATTTCAGTTTTATTTCATTCGCTATGTCTTTATTAAGTTGCTTTATTAATAGGCTAAAATAAATAAATTTCATACGTTTTGTATTTTTTTTTTTATTCCTGACGATTGGTGAGTGCCCTTCTACAGGTCGGCGCCTGGACCTAAGGCTGTCACTGGTTATCACTTTATTGGCAGAGGAAGTTCAACACATCATATTAACCAGGCTTATCTAATAAAACTTTAGTAACATATTTATCATTCATTTATTTAGCTTAAAAATAATATTGAAGGGATAAAATGACGCAATTAAATCCATTTGTTCATAGTAGCCCTAAATTAATAATAAAGAACAACTTTGTTTTAGAATAAAATTTGGCACAAAGGTTTCTCATTAGAATATAATTAATTAAAAGAAATATAAACCTAAATTAATCCTTTTTTGAAGAGGGGGTAGGCAAAATTCAACATCATTCCTCAGTAGTTGGAATGACTATTATGGCAAAACAAACTTTTTACCAAGAAATTAAATCATTCAATTTTTTTTCAATTAATTTTATTAAATAAAGAAAAATAAAATATATTATAAAATAAATAGAACTAATACTAGGGATTTCATTTTTTGGGAATTGTTTTTATTCTATTATAAATAAAATATCTGGTGCGGTGCAAGCATCACACAACTTTCACTTACCACCCTCTTCTTAGCTGAAATAAGTATTTTCAGACAAAGGATAAGTGAAAGTAAAAATTATAGACGCTATAATTATTTATATTTCATTGTGGGTATTTTCATTCGTATAAGTACTCTTATATATACAAATTTTAATATTTAAATCGGTGTAATCTATACAATTAAATATTAAATAATACCAACAAAAGCATTTATGAAAACCGCATATGTATATTTATATAATATTGTCGGAGTCCGTATTATATTAAACTCATGTTACGGATGGAAGCCTGTTATAATTTTTCGGGTGAGCTCAGGTGCGATCAATTACAACTATTCTACGTTATGATTTTTTATTTCTCCTTTAATTAATTATCAAATTCTTTTATATTAGGGATTAATGTGAAATAGTCAATTAATTCAAATAAAAAAAGTTAAAGGTACTTTAGAGGAAGCTAATATAGAAAATTAGCCATTTAAGCCCTGTTAGAGAATATCAATCAGAATAAAAACTACATTTTGCTTAAAATTGCTTAATTTTACACTGATATAATGAATTTAATCAAAATCGCTAGAGCCATTTCCGAGAAAATTGTAAAAATGTGTATAGCCCATGATATAAAGTGCCACTTACTGTTAGCCGATTTTGACAAAAAAATTGCTGTAACATCCCTAGCATATAAAAACGTTAAATATGCAATTTCACTTTCGTAAGACTTTTCGCTTCTGAGCTACACTGTTAACACACACAAACCATTTTGCAGGACTTGGTTATTTGGACTCAGGGGACTTCAAAACGTGTATTTCCGTTGAAAACTGAGATTAAAAAATTTCCAGGATCGCAATACTTTTCTTTACAATATATTTCATATATAAGTAAATAAAAGTAAAACGTATGACGTTATTTAGGAAACAAGTTTACCAAGAGATGGTGCAGAATTACACATTAATAAAATATATTTTCATTTTGTTTCATTAACTGGCTGTGAATAGAATACCTTATTATATTTTTGAATAAAAAAAAAAATATTCAACTCATATTTCAAAAAATCTGTTGTTTTCCCAATATTTCAAAAATAAAATATATGATTTCTTTAAAACTAACAGAAAAAAAGTAATTCTTGAAGGAAGTTAGTCGACTGTTCTACATATCATGGGTGATAAATATTCAGGACGCAGTCTTTTTTAAAACATTTTTTATTTTTGCCAACGTTTCAACCCAAACATGTGGGTCATCTTCAGGGCTGAAAATGATTTTTTTAAATTACAATCAGAGATATAATAGTATACGACCGCTAATTATAAATAATAAACTATAGTGAACTATAAGGTCGTATACTATTATATCTCTGACTGTAATTAAAAAAAAAAAATTTTCAGCCCTGAAGATGACCCACATGTTTGGGTTGAAACGTTGGCAAAAATAAAAAAAAATTTAAAAAAGACTGCGTCCTGAATATTTATCACCCAAGAAAAAAAGTAAGTTTAAAATATTTTTGTTGTATACATTTTTGTGAGTTATAATAAATAACTTGGAATGGTTGGAATGAAATAACCATAAATCACCTTTATAACACAAATTAATTAAGATTCTAATAAGAAAAATATAGCTCGATAGCATAATATTTTAAGGGAAGGAGATGGTCTGGGGTGGTGGTCATAAATAGGCTAAATAGTGGCAAAACTATTTTATTAAAAGCCAACGTTTCTACCCAACTTTGCAGGCCTTCTTTAGGGAGGTGTGTTCAGCTATGAGTTTCACTTGGATCTCAAGAAGACCTGCAAAGTCGGGTTGAAACGTTGGCTTTTAATAAAATAGTTTTGCCACTATTTAGCCTATTTATGACTGCCACCCCGGACCATCTCCTTCCTTTATAATGCAACGGTCAACTATTAAATATTTAACATAATATTTTAAGCTTATTTATGAAGGAAAAAAATCATCAGGATTATCATCAGTATGATCTTAGGATATTTCATAGATTCAATGAAATGAATGACTATAAAAAATTATAATCATTTAGGGAAACAATAAATATAATTTTAAAACAAAATTCAAGCAAGCAATTGATAACAGCATATTATAGAAAGTTCTTTATAAATGATATAATGGTTCTTTAAATAAGTTTATAATCATTATTATGATAAAAACAATATGAGGAAGTAATTAAGTATATGATTTAAAAAAAAATGCTTTATAATTTAGAGACCTGAATTTTTTGAAATATCCGGTATTTGCTGAAGTTTAAATTTATTTTCAGCAAATATTTCTTGAGCAAGTTGCTCTTTAACAGTAAGCCTTTCTATTGGTAATTCTTTAAGGCTCAGTTTTAGCATATCTGCTGAAAGACACCGAAGTTCATCACTAGATGGCTTCCAGTCATCAAGTGATACCATGGCATCATGAACAAAACTTCCACTTGTAACTAAAAAAAAAAAGTATTGATGAAATGGAAAATATAAATATATTTATATTTATATCAAAATCTAAAACGTATAAATATATTTTTAAAAAATACTAATTTCAATAATAAATAAATAACTAACTTTGAGGCGAGGGAAAACTATGCAATAACACTTTGATACTATCATTAAAAGCATTTTGAATTACAGCTCCTAATACAAATGAACATGTTCTCCAAAATGCTTTGTTCACGTGATGTGGATCCTCATCAGTAAAACTGAGAAATCTTAAAGAACAGTCATCTTCGAGGGGTTTATGCATATCCCAGACCTTTGAATTATCGACCAAGGCTAGGGCAGATTTCTCTACCATCCATTTTGAAATGTCTGAAAAAAAAAAATGTAATATGGCATAGATCCTTTTAATAACTTCCATACTCCTATAACATTTACAACAATTAAAGGAAATTGCATACGCTGAGCAACATTAAAAGGTGTAGATAAGTGTTTGTTCATAGAAAATGTCTCATTTTTAATTTTTTCATGTACATTAACAGTTATCTTCTCAATTCTTCCAATATCACTGGTTTGTCTTGCAAGTTCATTATCAAATATCTCATTTTGATTTCGAACAACTGAAACGGAGGAATAAGATGCTTGTCCTGCAGATAGAAACAAAATTATGAGGAATAAGAATTCTATTTCAAGCTACAGATAAAAAATGTAACTAGCCGGAAATATGAATTTTGATAATACATTATCATATAAAAACTAAATAAGGGATGCATTTAAGACCATAATAAATAAAACTATTTCGAGCCTACTTACTACAGAATATAACTAATTGAAACGATTTCCTGTAATTACGAATATATTTCATTATTGAAAAGAAAAATATGATTTTCTTTAATATTTAAAATTGAATTTTCTGTATCGAAACCTCCATTGTGTTACAATAAAGATTAGAAGTGTACCCAAACATTCATTATATATAACCATTGCTAATATTGAATATATAGAAATTTAAAAAAAAAGATATTTATACTCAAAATATATGTATATTTTTTAGTGAATAATATCAGTCTATTTATTTGTAATTCGTTCTTTTTAAGTATTAAGTTATATCTTGTGATGAGAGTTGTAGATTAGGAGGTAGCCTTCTGCATCAGCCACTTCCACTTCAGCTTGCAACCGAGGCACTTCTACCACTGCTCTCGACCAAGCTACTTCTTCGTCCTGGGTAAGGTATACACGTGTTGGTTATAGTTTTCATTTTGTATTTCTAGTTATATCTCTCACCAAAGATGCTGGTTAATCAACCCATTTGTCGATATAATATTAGTAGGGCGATTCGTTAGTATACAGTAGGAAATTTTTAAGAACAGAGTCGAAACAGTCACCACGTGGTGTTTTTAATGGCTGGCTATATGCGATGATTATACTCTAGTCTCGTTCGTATGAAATGTTATGATTATTTCATCAATTATGAGCTATGGCCATCTAGATTTCTGTGATAAATCGTTAATTAAACGTTACTGCCGCCATGTGCTTGGGGATAAATCATTATTAAATTAATCGATTATTCATAATATTTCGGATAAGGAGTTGCATTTATACTAGTGTATTTACTTGATGAGAAGGGAAAATAATAAAAATTGTTTTTTTATTGTATACTCTTGTTTGTTTAAAGTCTCACAACTTTCTTATTGATTGTTTAAAGTCTCCATCACCGTTCTATTGTATTAACTTACTTTTTTAAAATACTGTATGTTCTTTTCAACATGTTATTTCCTCCTAAATTTCTGGATATCCATGTTGTATTGCTTCTCTTGAATTTTTTAGTGGTTATAGTGTTTGGAATGTAGTAATTTTTTGAGACCTTGGGGTTTTATTTTCTAGGAAGCATTAGACAAACTAATTCTTTTTGTTTGTGTTCCTACTGATTGTTTTTTAATAAAATTCAAGCATCAGTCCATTTGCGGATCTATGTTGGGCACTTTTACTGCTGCCTATAAAGTAAATAGATAGGTTTATGAATTTGTATTTGTGTGCATTGTTTTACCAATCCTGCTCAGTTCATTCTTAATTTCTGTGTTTTCTCCCATCATTTTGTTGCTTTTCATTGAACGTGTACTCTTTAATATTTAGCTATGTGTCTGGTTGTATATTGTTCCGTAAGGATGTGAAACAGTCAAGATGAGCAATTATATGAATTAAGTTCTGTCTCTTAGTTGTTTTGCTACTCTTAAGTACTTATTATTAGGTGGTGCTACAAGATCATCTAGAATGCTATTTCCTGTTAAATGTCTATTTTTCTTTTAAAAATTATTTGTGAGGCATAAAAGATTTATGTTAAATTAAAGAAAGTATTGACTATTTAAAACAGCAGTCCCCAAACTATGGCCCAGGGGCTAGATTTGGCCTGTGTAGGTTTCTTAAATTACATTTTAAAATTCCGAAGTATTTAAAAATATGAAATTTAGGTTGCCTAAACGTTAGGTTACAAGATATTTTTTTGCTTGTGTTTTTACTCTTAGTAAGCTCATTTCAGAGTTGAAATGTCATTTGTAGAACAAGTTTTTTTGAAGGAGTCAACTGTTCTACATATCATGTTTGTTAAATAGTTAGGATGCAGTCATTATAAACATTTTTTTGTTTGTTCCATGACCTAGTCATACAATTTTTCTATTTGTGCCAAATTTTCAACCCAAACATATCTTCAGGGCATGGTTTGAGCATTGAAGATGACCCACATGTTTGGGTTAGAACTGCACAAATAAAAAAAATTGTATGATTGTGTCCAGACTATCCATCCATCATCCATAACAAGCTTTTTTTTATTAGAAGCTATGGATGGAATTATCGATGCGGGTTGGGTACTCTGTAGTCGAGGTCTCAATGTGGCCTATAGTTAAAGTATTAAAGACTATCTAAACAATCCACAACAAATGTTGATGAATATTCTTATTAAGGTACAATAAAAATACTCAACAAAATTAGCAAATTTCATTACATTTTTCCTTGATATCACAAGTTTGTTGAATTGTTAATAAAAGTTTTGAAACCACCTGCTTATCTGACCTCTGTCTTCTCTTTCACCATAATAATTCTCATGATTTGTTTTTTATAGTTTTTTCTTTTTTAAGATATGGTTAGTTTAGAGTTCAGTTATTTCTGGTTTTAAGGCGTAAAACTCCCTCCTTTAAGTCATCACCTATTTCGTTTATTGTTCTCTTGAGTTCGGAAATTCAAGAGAGTTCAGATACATCACTGGTGGTTGATAAGTCTAACAGTTTAGAGTCAATGACTGTTTCTTATTTAATTAACTGATTTTTCAAAGCCTGTAAAAAAAAAGAGTATATAAACGATCATTGATCTCTTGAACTAGTGGATTTTATCTAAAATATTGTTTCTATGTACAGTGTATGTTTGATGAGATCTATGTAAGTTTTAAGTGCCACTAAAAATAGTCTTAACAGAGTTATGACAGAAGTGCATAATGCTATGTGTTTGTTAGGGAGTTTTAAGAGAGCACAATGGCATCTAATTAATTCATGGTTTTCCAGAAATCCTATCTCTACTCCATTGCATTTTAATAACCAATAGATACTTTAGTAATGAAAATACACCGAATGAGTTCATATGATGAAACTTTCTTCCACATGAAGAGTTTAATGATTATTTTATAAGCCCATTATAATTACTGATGAGCTCTGTATTTATTATTATAAGTTTTTTTGTTATGTAGAACTATAATTAATAGCTATTAACAGTTTTCTTTAATTTTTTTCAGGTTTTAGCTGACAAACCATCAAATCAAGGTCAGTATATTGTATGAGTTAAGTCATAATACTTTTTGGTAATAGTATCTGTTTATTCTATTTTACTTAGAATTCTCTGAAGTCATAAATGTTTGTAACAAAAATTTTTAGTAATCTCTGATTTAATTTATTTAATAATAATATATTAATAATCAATTCACTAAATATTATATGTTTTCAATAAATAATAGTATTCATTAAGAAGGTTGTGTGGGAATATTTCTATTCACTTCTCTAAATTAAGGCATATTCATTTTGATAAACGTCAATACTGCTGTATTCACTTATGCTGGCGTAAATACAGCTGTATTCACTTTTACAATCTTAAATACTGCTGCTATTTATATTTACAGCCATGAATATATATCATCTATTCATATTTATTTTTATAAATATATTTATATTTAAATCGATAAGTACCATGAACATGAATGGTATTCGTATTTATATTTTTGAATATAGATATGTCCATCTCCGTTCAATACTGCATTTTAATAATTCTTAAATTAAACTAATACAAATGTGTTTTCTCTGTTTCTGCTGTTGTAGAACAGTTCTGTTTTATATATGGTCACACATTAAGCTATTAATGTAATTTGTATGGACTCAGGAAAGTTCTGTGGGTAGATACCTGATTCGCCGAAATTAATACTAATATTTTAATTAATTATTAAGGGTTGATTGTACTGTGCTGAAGATAAGTTCCATTTATTTTAATATGATGATATAATCAAAAAAGTAGCGACGAGCGAAATGATAATTAAGGGATTATATATTGATTAATCTGATTTAAATTCAGCAATTATTATATCTGACTTAGTATTTTGCTGAGTATTAATTAACATGTTTTCCTCTTTTTATTCTAGTTCAGCTGTACGTAATAACTCAGGTTTTCCAATGTGTGTAAGGAGAATGAGCCAGCAATTTCTTTTATGTGAAATTAGTAGTATGGAAATTGGAAAGGGTATCACCTAAGCATTCAGAAAGAAAATCAGATAATTAACAGGTAAAAGAAATTTTTTATCTCTAGGAATCATAAGTTAAAAAAAAATATGTTTGAGGTGCTTACTTCTGTATCACTTTTATTTCTTTAAGAAATAATTTAGATAAATTTATTCTAGATATTTCTTTTTTCCTAAAAGCCCATTATGAAATCATTTTTCCCCTTTTTGACTGGCAACTCTTAATATTGATGAAAATGAATCCTTGATAAAAGCTTAAAGCTATTTCACCTACTTACACTTTTATAAATTTAGTAATTATGCAAGTATATCATGATGATTTCCAAACAGACTAGAGTTTAGAATATATTTATATTCTTTTTATGAATATAAATATATTTATATTCATATGTACCATAAATATAAATGGTATTCTTATTTATAATTTTGAATATAAATACGCCCTTCTCTATTCAATACTCCATTTTATTAGTTATTAAAAATACAGAAAAGTACTGATTTTATTTTAAACTAAAACAAATGTGTTTTCTTTATTTCTGCTATTGCAGGAACAGTTCTGTTTTATATATGTTCATGTAACAAGCTATTAATGTAATTTGTATGGACTCAGAAATGTCCTGTGGGTAGATACCTGATTCGCTGAAATTAATACTAATATTTTATATAATTGTTAAGGGTTGATTGAATTGTGCTTAAGATTAGTAACATTTATTTTATTATGAATTGCACTGAAGATACCCTTTATTTTAATATGATGAAATAATCAAAAAAGTAGCGACGAGCGAAATGATAATCAAGTGATTATATATTGATTAATCTGATTAAAATTTAGCAATTATGATATCTGACTTAGTATTTTGCTGAGTATTAATTAACAATTTTCCTCTTTTTGTTTTAGTTCAGATGCACATAATAACTCTAGTTTTCCAATGCGTGCAAGGAGAATGAGGCAGAAATTTCTTTATGTGAAATTGGAAAGGGTATCTGAAAGAAAATGGAGAATATCAGATAATTACCAGGTAAAGAAAATATTTTATCTGTAGGAATCTTAAATTAAAAACTCTTACTTATGTATTACTTTTTCTTCTTTAAGACATGATTTTGATAAATTTAATTCTAAATATTTTTTTTTCATAAAAGTCCATTACCAAATCATTTTTTCCCCTTTGACTGACAAGTCAAATGTTGATGAAAATAAACCCTTGATAAAAGCTTTATGCTATTATACCTACTTATGCTTTTATAAATGAAGTAATTTTATGGCATACATATCATGATGATTTCCAAACAGACTAGAGTTTCTGAAATAGCTGTGATTATAATTATTTTAAATCTGAAGCCATAATTTTCTTAATAAGTTTATATATACCTGTGTAAGAGTAGACATAACTGTACTGTTTTGTCTAGGTTTACTACAAGTTTGCTGCTGCTATAAGTATACATGGAGTCTGTTAACCTACACTAGAAGATGGATTTTTCCATTGATATAAGGTAATAAATGTTATAACTTATTTCTGTATATTGTCAGTACTTCAGATGATGATAATGTGCCATGCACCTCTCTTAAGCAATGTCAAATTGTGTTGTTGAGGATATTCCCGCACACTGAGAAATACTGAAACAGTTTTACATTGTGAAACTTAACATTTTTTTCCCTGAATACTTATTTCCTATTTCGTATCAACTGTTAACCTATGAATTTATGTAAGTTCTAAGATATTACAATTACAACTGATATTTCCTTTTATTCTCTTATTGTCTATTTAGTATTTGTAAAATAAATATGGATTCAAGAAAGTATTACTGGACTATTAAGTTAGTTTAGCATCAATTTATTTTTGAATCTTAGCTAAAACCAAATGGAATAATAAATTTGTTGTTATATCAAGTACTACTGTTACAGTTTGTTTATAATTACAGAAACTCGACGCTTCAGTTTTCATATTTCCTTAGTATTCTTGGTTTTATATGAGTTTTCTTTTTTACTTTCACTTACCTATCTATATATGAAATATATAATGAAGGGAAGTATTGCAATCATGAACATTTTTGAATCTCAGTTTTCAACGAAAATACAAGTTTTGAGCTCCTCCGAGTACAAATAACCAAGTACCGTAAAATGGTCTGTGTATTAACAGTAGCACAAAAAAGAAAAGTCTTACGAAAGTAAAATTGCATATTTAACGTTTTTATATGCTAGGGATGTTAGAGCTATTTTTTTGTCAAAATCGGCTAACAGGAAGTGACACTTTATATTACAATTTTCTTTTTTGGCTCTTGATGATTATGATTAAATTAATTATATCAGAGTAAAATTAAGCGGTTTCGAAAAAAATGTAATTTTTATTCTGATTAATGTTCTCTAACAGGGTTTAAATAGCTAATTTTCAATATCAGCTTCCCCTAAAGTACCTTTAATTTTTTTATTTGAAACAAATGACCATTTCACATTAATTTCTAATATTAAAGATAGTCTACAATATGAAAGAATTAGATAATTAACAAAGGGAGAAATAAAAGATCTCAATGGAGAATAGTTATAATTGAGGAACCAAAGGAATCTGAGCTTGCCCGAAAGATAAGGAACACGCTTCCATGCGTAACATGAGCTTAATATATATAATACGGACAATATTAGATAAATATACATATGCGGTTTTCATAAATGCTATTGTTGATATTATTCAATATTCAATTGTATAGTTTTCTGTGATAACAAATATTAAAATTTGTATATATTAGGATACTTTTACAAGTAAAAATACCCACAATGAAATATAAATAACTATAGCATCTGTACTTTTTACTTTCTCTTCCCCTTTGTCTGAAAATACTTATTTTTGTTAGGAAGAGGGTGGTAAGTGAAAGTTGTGTGACGCTCTGCACAAGATTTTTTTACCAGTTTTTACTTCTGCAACTATGCTCCTAGTATTAGTGTATCTTGCGGTTTTCTGTATGATGTACCTTGACTGCTGTGGAATACTTATGCAGAAGAATATTAACTTTTGCCTAACTTGCAGCGCTGTCATGAGGCCTCTATCTTTATGCCTTATCATGATCTAGTCGATAGCAGGCTGTACAAACAATTTTCTGAACTTATAAAAAAATTTGATCATCACATGTGCTTTTTGTTCACTTTTGGATATTACATTGAAATATTTAAAAATACTAATGTTTCAATTAAGATTAAATAATTTTCTTGTTAGTAATACTTTCTATATATTTTATTCACCATGGTAGTAGCTCCTGTTGTTTCTCTTGTTTTTTTATTATTTCTAAAGGTACTATTTTGCTGGGACTGCCCACGGCAGCTACCGCTATTTCACGCTGCCATTCATTTCTCATGCCATTCTATTTTGCTGAAACTGCTTACCGTCACAGCCAAATTTTATCAGTTTTGCATCCTAGTTTAATATAGTTTTAAATAAAAATGCTGGCCTTAAATTTGATGGTTTTTATTTGTATCTGAAGGAGAGAGCAATAGATTTTATGGTAGAGTTTCGATCATATTTAATTAATTTCATGCCATTTTTATGGTAGTTTAAGTTAAATAACAAGGTTAGGTTATATCTGTACTAAGAAATGTTAACAATTATCTACATATTAAATCCGACTTTTACAAAATGATGTAAATATTTTGAATATGAAATATAAGTATTTATGGTATTTATAAGATGATAAGGCATTATTTTAAGAACCCTAAGGATTTATCTCAGGTTTTAAATTTATTAATAGTTTAAATTATCAGTAATTATTATATAATTGGTTATAATTAAATATCATTTATTTGTAATGAAATCGCAGCAGGAAATATTTTATCAATAGAAAATCCAAAAATCAGCACTTATTTAAAAAATACAAATTGATTTTTCAATGTCTGGATTTGAATATTTACCTCAAGTTAAAATAATTATCCGGATAAAACTCTTAATTGTTTGATTATGTTTTCTAAAACAGGTTCTTAAGCCATGCTCTGTGGCAATCTCCTTTTATTTTAATAATTAAAGTCGAAATTGTAAGTTTTTAGTCCAGATACATGTTATCAGTGCATATATTTATTACCCACAAAATTAAAATAAAAGATAATATCTAAGCTGAGTTGTTCTTAGTTTATATGTATTGCTTTGAAAAAAAATTAAGATTTCTATTACATCACATTTAAGGCTACTAACTTATTTATTTAAACTATATTTCTTTAAAAAAATAAATATGAAATTGTTGCTACAATTATTTTAATAGGTCAGTTTTAGATGCCATATCCATTTTTTAGTCTGACAAGGGTGTTTAGGTATAATAATTCATAAACCGCTGTACATCAATATTTAATATTTATTTAATAAAATTATACAGCCGATTTTACTTTAATATAATATAGTCAGGGCTCTTGAATAGTATTTTATATTGAAAAGAAGGTATTGACTTCGCTAGCTCATGTTATGAATACTTCTGCAATAATGCTCCTAGCATTAGTGTGTCTTGCAGTTTTCTGTACGGTACACTGTGACTGCTACGGAATACTTATGCAGAAGAATATCAATCTGCCTGTCTTGTAGCGCTGTCATGAGGCCTCTATCTTTATGCCTTATCATGATCTAGTCGATAGCAGGCTGTACAGTTAACAATTTATTAAAACTGATAACTTATATATCTAGTTCGACCTTATTTAATTTTAAAAACATTAATACCAATATATGTGAATTGCTAATAATTTAGTTTGGGTACATTTGAGGTTTTTAATCTCTTGTAAATTCAAATTAATATAGTAGGGACTTCTGTTTATTTTATTTTAATTCCTTAGTTTTTATTTTAAACCAGTTCTTTGCCTTATTTCCAATTTACTTACCTCTGAAACTGTCATAAGACTTATGTTTTATCCTCAATTAAAAACTGTTATTACAATTTTAACTCCGCTTAAACTGTCATAAGACTTATGTTTTATCCTCAATTAAAAACTCTTATTACAATTTAACTCCAGTAAAAAATTACGTTATTAATTTTTTTCCAAGAATTGAATTTTTGAGAGAAAAAATTATGCATTTGCATTCAAGAGATAAGCTGTGATGATGTATCAGTACTGCCCCAGGCTGACAATTTCTGACTGACTGTACTCAATCTGAGCGTCTCTTGTAAATTCTGAATTTTATTTCAAACCCTCTAATACCAAAGCCTAAGTGCTATATCTGTAAGTTTTCAAGCTTTTATTTTTTGTAAATCTTATGTTATTTAAATTCATCTTCTAAACAATTTATATTTCAATTACATTAAATAATAATTACACCTGTACTTCAAAAAGGTTATGACCAATTTAATTAAAATGTGTGTCTACAACCATAATTTTTAAACCTAATCTCTACAGTTTCTTCAATGTCAAATAAGCATATGTTCAATTTCAGATATGCCATTTAAGTATTACACTGAAATATGATTTTATTCTCTTAAGAAGTAAGGAAAATCTAGATTTATCTGAAATTTGTGATTTCAAATCCATTGACCAGTTATTATAAGTTATGATAATGCTTCATTGCCTCAAACCATAATTATGAAATTAACAGAACGAAAACTGAGATTCACTAATGCTCTGCTTATTCTTAAAATATATTTCTTAAATTAATTTGCAGTTATAATAGTGTGGGCACAAGTGTTCAGAAGTAGTTAGCAATGATGAGATTTTGTACCGCTCCAGCCTGACTAATCTGTGATGATTTATTATTTCTGAGCAACTCTTTCATAACACAGCACAGTTATATAATAAAAAGTTTAAAATACTGTTTTATAAAAGGATTTAAATAAGAATATGACTGTATATCGTCGTCAATTACAATTTTTAACCCAATATTTATGTTAATTGCCAAAATTAAATAACAAAGTAGTACTTCCTTGAATTTTCTCTCTAAATTAAAAACCTTTCCCTTTAGTTGACATTGTTTTGGATCTATCATAATTGTCATTTTAATGCATTTACAGTATTTTTACATATTTGAATTAAGATAGTCTCATAATAACTTGATTAAATGTTTCATTAAAAATGTGCCAAATGACTTTTTGGTATTTTAAATCCTAACAAGTAAGTCTTCTATTATTATTCAATACATCAATTTGCATTTGAGATAGTGTGATCAAGTATTCAGAAGTAATTAGCAATGATGAAATTTTGTACCGCTCCAGACTGACTGTCTGTGATTGATAATCCATTATTTCTGAGCAATACTTTCATAACAGCACATCAATAGTGTATTTAATAAAATGTTTTACACTATTTGTAATTGCAGATGTGCTTCTTAAATCTGTGCATATCTTATATGCTTTCAAAAACTAGTTGATCACCCTTTTAATTTTATTATAATTTTTCTAAAAGTTTCCTTTAGAGTTGATTTTTTATTTTATTTTTATTTTATTTTATTTTGCATTATTGAAATTATTTCTTTAATTTTAACTACAAACATTAATTTCAACTTCATTTCCCTTTTAAAAAATCGTTACTGAAC